GGCTTGAAATGTCCCAAAAGGGATCAAAACTCACAAGGCTCAAAGGTATCAGATGAGAAACCTAATTGATGGCTTATGAGCCAACACCGACAGCCATGAGATCGTTAAAACAGACCAGGAATGGCCAGTACAGCAGGCACTGGGCCTTTCCTCACTCCCCATGTCATCTCTTGGGATACAGCCTCTACTGTGTTCTTCCAATCACAGTAGCTCTGGATTGACACAGAGACGTGGCATTTCATTTCATGCTCAGCCTTATACAAAGCCTCTCTGTTTCAGCTACCTTTCCTTAGTCGTACACTTACTCCAACTGCTAAATTGAGTATAACTACCAGGATAGTCCATCATTTCTTATACTCAATACAGACAAAATAACCTTACTATACCATTCTTTATCACACAAAGAAAACCAAAGTTTCCATGGCTTTAGTAACATCAATCCTATTTTTGTGGTCACTAGGACCTAAAACCAGAGAGGCCATTCCTTAGGGACCTACCACTTGCATTCAATGCCACAGATTCATTTTTCAACGCTGCCCTCTACAATAGCTTCCATTCACATATATTTCCACATAATGACACTGCCACCATGCCATCAAAGAGTGGACTCCATCCAGTCTGTCCTAAAGACTCTTTATAGCCAAAAGAATGTGACTGGAGCAATGCTATTAGAGTTGCCAGGCTACTAGGCAGAAAAGATAATACAGCTTCTAGCTGGAGCTTTCTGCTCCATAGCTCAGCTACCTCAAACCTGCCATGCTGAGTAGGAGGCCGCTTGTGGTCCCAACTGTCAGGTCCAAAGGAAACTCCAAAAGGCAGTCCAAATATTCAGAAATGAGCTCGACCTTGGCTACAGGAGGACTTCTGGCTGTTAGATAAAAACAGAATCCCTCAAGAACTTGTGAAACTGGTCCCTATCTGCCAAAAGGAGTCATTTTCCTTACTCCTGGCAAAAGGGACACATGGCTTTCCAATTAACATATGCCCATGGCATCTATCAGCATATCAAAGTCCAGGCTAGCCTGCAGGTTCCCTCAGTCTGTGGTATTTACTCACAAGTATTTACTATACATCCTAGCCCTTCTTACCTACTCTTCTACCCTAAACTCTCATCAGCTCTTTAGCTATTAACACTATTCTCAGCTCTGGCTCTAACTACTCTCACTAGTCACAGTCCTATTTTCTGTCCCCTGCTTTTTGCCCAGCTCCCACAGATAGCCCTGGCCATGTCCAGTCTGTTGCTTTTTTTCTCTACTCTGCACTCTTCCAGGTGCCTCTGGTTATTCTCTCTCTCTTTCTCTCTCTCCATTCACAATAAAAACCATCCCCTTAAGCATACTAAGGAGTTTGTTGTTAGTTTATACATCTGGTAATGAACACTCAGGAGGGACAGAGATTCAAGTGGCCCAGCCTCACTAACCAAACCAAGCTGCTGATTTGAGTCTCCAAAGATATGGATCATTTGTTTCTGCTGGCTTCTGTCACCCGTCATATTCGACTCCAAATGTTTGAGTCCATCTCTTCAGCCATTTCTTCACTCACCTGTTCTCTTCTGGTACTCAGGTAAGTGTCACCTTGGAACCACCTATGCTATGTCTGTTGGCTCTCGGACTCTACTACTGCTTTGAAAGTGCGTCAGGCAACTTCTCTAACCCTGCTGAGCACCCAGCACATGGAAAAAGATGTCTCTCCTTTGTCATTTAAGACATTTTTCTTTGGCAAATCTCTGTCCGCTGCTATCTCACCCGACCATAGATAAAACAGGGCATGTCCCGTGTACTGGCCATGCCAAGTCTACTTTTCTCTCTCTGTTCTAGAATCTTCCAGAGACCTCTGGCTGTTTTCTCTTGGATCCACAATAAAATCTTCCCATACCATGAAACAGTCATGTAGTCAGTTCATCCACCCAGCAGGTCCAGTCTCCTAACTATCCCACTACCCAAAATGCCAGAGATGTGAGCACAGCCAAAAGAGACCCCTTACCACTTCACTGGACAGTTAAATGGCACTGATTAAACTCAGTAACTGCCCTGAGGAAAACTACCCAGCTTAGCCTTGCCCTAATTTCTATCTCACAAAATCGGGAGATACAATAAAATGTCTATAGCTTTCTTTTCATCATTCAATAAAGTTGCCCACAGGAGGAGAAATGTTAAGTGAAATATCCCACCTTTGTGTCAATCTCAGAGCTGTCAACAGAGGAAGCCCATATCAACTCAGACTTAAGCTGCTAAAACTGAATTTAGGTACTCCTTAACAGTCATTAAATCTATTTTGCTGAATGTCCCAATGGAGACCACAACCTCTAAACAAACATCAAGCTCTCAGGATCTGACATTTGTAGGAAACAGTATATTGCAAAAGAATCTTTAAAAATAATTTATGTGCTCTAGACAACAAACTCCAGAGAGACCGTAGGTGGAACAAGCACTCTCTTTTAGAGATGATGAGCTCAGGGGATAAGAGGGTGACTGTACACTCTGTCAGTCAGTGGAATGGGTGTACACAGAGCTAAGAGCCTGCATCACATATTGCTGTTCTTTTGGACAAGATAAAAACACAAAACAGAACAAAAACACCACAGTGCTTCTGCTATCCCTACTATAGCAAATCAAGTTGTGCAGGACAGAACAATTTGGTCTAAATCCATCTAGTTGAGCAACAGCAGCACTAAGGAAGGCTGTCTGCCTAACAATGAGACATCTGAATCTACTCTTTCTCCTGTGTCCTTAAACCTCACTCATGCATGCTCGCAAGTTCACTTTCTCCACAAAGAGCTAACAACTTCTCCTTGGTGCTTCCTCTCTCTGGCATCCCTTTAAGATTTATCAGTTTCATACAGTATTCAGCAGTTTCATCCTGTTCACATACATAGATCTTACTTTCTCAGGTGGTATTAAGCTAACACACATCCACTGTGATGCTGAGTGGTCATAACCAGTAACCCTCCTGACCAATAGAGATCTATAACATACTTCCTGTTAATATTCTGAATTTTACCCTTATTTCCCAAACTAAACCATAAGCTCTTTTTTTGAGGTTACAACAAGGGACACATATATCCTTACACTCTTGAAGAAAAATCCTCCTCTTTGGGAAAGGTCCTTCCCTTTAGGGAAGGTCATCCTTTTTCAAGTGAGGATACAGCTTCAGAAAGGACATACATGTAACCTGTCTTAGTCTGGGTTTTACTGCTAGGTAGAGACACCATGACTCTTACAAAGGGAAACATTTAACTGGTGCTGGCTCACACTTTCCAAGGTTTAGTCCATTACTGTCATGGCAGGAAATGTGGCGGCGTAGGCCAGCGGCATGTAGCCAGCAGCGTGGTGCTGGTGCTGAGAGCTCTGCATTTTGATCTACAAGCAGCAGGGAGAGATGTGCTACACTCAGCTTCTCTTGAGCATGTGAGACTTCAAAGCCCGCCCCTTCAGTATCACACTTTCGCCAACGAGGCCACATCCCCTAAGAGTGCCACTCCCTACGGGCCAAGAAGCCAATCACATGAGTCTATGGGCACCATTTCTATTTAAACCACCACAGAAAGATATACACATTGTCTAGCTAGACAGAATAGCAGAATCAATCCTATCCATCAACACGATGACAAATGTCGTAGCCAGATTGCCCTCATACCTCACGAGCTCTTTAATAACAGAAAGTATGTCTCATGATGAGGTATTATATTCTCCAACACAAGCATGATGCAAAGCACACAGCTAACATTCATTTACTGATTTGAAGGAGTGGACTATACTGCATTGTGAAAAAAAGAACACTCATATCATGTCTACAATAGAAACAAAGAATTGATAAGCTAGGTATTTTTTTTAAATATTTACCTGTATACATGAATGCTTTGTCTGCATATATGATCTGATGCCAATGGAGGGCATCAGATCCCATTACAGATGGTTGTAAGCCACCAAGTGGTTGCTTGGAACTGAACCCAGGCCCATTCAGCCACTGCTCTTAACTGCTGAGTCATCTCTTCAGCTCAGAAAAGCTAAAATATTTTCAAGTGAGTAGTTTATAAAGCTAGAAACATGGCTCAGTATTTGAGAGTCCTTACTTCTTACAAGAGACCAGAATTTGGTTCCTTGCGCCTATATCAGGTGGCTCACAACCACCTGTAATTCCAGATTGAGGGAATCCAATGTTCTTTTCTAGCTTCCACAAGCACCTGCACTCCTGTCCACATGCTCACTCATGGACACACACACACACACACGATTTAAAATAAAATAAAATACTTTAAAGGTCACTAGTTTAATGTCAGGGACATTTAAAAGTATCATTTAAAGATACTCTATGAAATCTATAACTGACAAGACATCTTAGAAATGTTTTTTTACCAGGAATCGGCGTAGGGAACACTTCACAAATAATCAAGATGTAAATCTCTTAGCAGCCCAAAGTCATAGGTAACTTAAGGTTTCCTTGCAATCCTTTCAGAGGAAATCTATTATATGAATGAATGAAATTATCAGCATGAATAACGTTAAAAATACACATTTGGTTAAATACATGAGATCTAAATATTTTTCCAGGTAAGATGAATTGTGTCTATTTTTGTTACATTAAGATTTTTCTATAAAATAAAACTATAAAGAAAAAGACAAAATCCTTATGTTTTTTTCCCTGAAAGTACACGCAAAGAAGCCCAGGCTTATTTGATTCTAAATGCCAAGTTATTTTCAAACAGACAAAACATTCATTTCATCGAATCAAAAGAAACAGTAACCTCAGACCTATTTTGGGCAAAGTCTTTTGAGTTCACTTCAGTCGCATTAGGTGAGAAAGCTGTGTAGGTTGGACAATTCACTCAGTCACCTACAGTCAATCACACAATGGAACCTAAGAAAGCCGTCTCTTTTGAGTTCTGCAGCCAACCAGTCTTCATCCTTTCCAACATGAAAAGACACAAGCAACATCTACTCCATGCACATGGCTTTAGTCTGCTCTGTAAAACATCCTACATAAAGGGATATTTGTTTTACCTGTTTAATATTTCAGTGAGTTTCACAAAACCAGTATAAGCCAGTTCAAATGCTCCTCTGTGTCTGGATTGTAAAAGATGTTGTTTAAAGTAATCTCCTATTTCTTTAACCTTAAAAAAAAAATAGACAAAATGTTCAAGTTATGCTTAATTTGTAGCTGCATTAATACATATCAGAAATATAATTCAGAACCTGTACTTATATATCCATTTAACATTGGCTATGTGATACATCATTGTGTGTTAAGCACCCTTCTGATGCTTTTTGAGACAGGGTCTCAGGCAGTTGTGGGTGGCCTTGAACTTGCTGTGTAGTCAGGAATAACCCTAAACTCTTGTTCTTCACCTCCAACAGGGATTCCAAATGTATGCTACCACACCTACATTAAGCCTTTTTTATACCACCTTATTTAACAGTCATAGGGAATTTCATGAAATAAATACTATTGCTATCTGTAGTCCACAGTGGGGAAACTTGGGCACAGAAAGGCTAAGTAACTTAATCTAAGGTCACACAGCAAGGAAGCAGGACAAAAACCAGGCAGTCATCCATCTTTAATTGCTACATTAGAATGCCTCCCCATGCCAGATTTGCAAATTTCATAGTATGTTCTGTTAGCCTGCGTCACTTAACACCAACATAAAATCATAAAAGGTAACAGACTCATATAAATGATTCTGAGATAATTATGTTTACTCTTCAAATATTTTGCATTTATTGCAGTAAAATACACATAAGAAATTTACTACTGCAACCATTTTACAGTATGCGGTTCAACAATACGAAGCACAGTTGCACTGCTGAGCAAGTATGAATGTTATCCATGCAAAGACCTTTTCATCCATTCACATTACATCCTAGAGATACACTAAGACTACAAGTGAGGCTTAGCAAAAGGCCATCCTAAAAGTCAACAGCAGCACTTTAAGTAAAACCATGGACTCTGCCGGAATGGCACACCATCACTCCTCAACACTCTGTCTTTCTCTAGGTAAGATTAAATACAAAGCATACCAATTAATTTTAAAGAAAACATAACTGACAATTAGTTGTATTTGTTGTTCTGAACAAAGAGAAGAGCCAAACTAGTTAGTCCTGCTGGGCTTCATGTTACTTGGTGACAGATTTGGTGGCTGTAGACTTTAGAAAATCCAGACTTTTTATAAAGCTATAATCCACCCACCGTGCACACATAGATCACAGTATGGTGAACAGGGAAGCTGCCCCATGGTACCTCAAATCTGCTAACAGGAACACTTTCCCCTCAGCAGGAACTGGCTTAGGGTTCTGCATACATCAGAGACAAAACAGTGTGAGCAACCTCGTTTTCTTCTGTACGCTTAGGGTACTAATGGCGCTTACTCATAGGCATTGGTGTTTCAGTTAAATAGCAAGTTCAGAACAGGCCAGCATCTCCACTCAGAGTGTACGCATCATAAAGACTGACACATGCAGCAACAGACGTGAAAACCAACAAAACCCACACAAGAGCCGCTTGATGAATTTTTAAAAACCCTATTTCAGAGTTATATGCTATGTCCTTCAGCTAAAGCTTTTTCTCAAGGCATCATTTCTATCATTACAATAGTAAAAGGTTATTAAGAAGATAAGAAAATATTTCAGAACAGAGAAAATAAAGACCAAAAAAAAAAGCCTTTTCCTTACTTATTTTCCCTAAAATGGGATACAGATACTGTGACCCTCTTCAATAAAGACAAACACTATTCACAAAGGGTTTCTCTGAGGACTTGCAAAAGTCCACCATCTTCTCCTTAAGCAGAGGTCACTTTTTCTTTGCTTCCTTTATGCTAACTCCCTGCAAAGGAGCTAAAAAAAAAAAAAAAAAAAAAAAAGCATATAATAAAACTAAAGCATGTGGTGGGTGGCCTTCTCAAGTGGACCCTCAGCCTTGAGGGTCCTTAGGAATCCTGACCTTAGGAATGAGAGTGATACTCTGAGGACAAGAGTGATATGTCATTTTATTTTATTTATTTCATTTTATTTTACATTTAATGTCCAAACAAATGTGAATTTTTTGCCTTTGCAGACTTATATAAGATTTTTTTTTCAAGTGTTTTTTGACATCCTGTCCAATTCTTTGCAGCTTACAGCTGGGGCAGACAAAAAAAGATGAAAAAGAAGACATGTGACCTCAGGAGGCTTTCAGTTTAGACCTGTAGGGAAACTAATATGCCGGGGTGATGACAGCTGCACAACACTTCCAGAAAGGAATGCCTGTTGCATTATAAAATCAGAAGAGAGTTCACCCTCACATCTCACACAGGGTATATGTTCAGGTAAACCAAAGACCAATTACTATGTGAAAAGGTTACAATAAACAATGAGCACTCACTAAGTAGCTGCTAGCAACCAGACACTTTGCTGGGTCCAAATCCAGCATGTGCAGACGAGGACAGGCAGAGCCAGATGAGTGACTTAGAGGCTCTATACTGGACAACAGTAAAGGCGGGCATGAAAAGGGCGGAGGAACCCAGTTCCTAAAGGCAGAAGACAGGGCAGATTAATGGCTGTGTGAGCAAGTGAATGGTCAGAAGCATCCTGCTGACAGCCTCTCAGTGCACAAGCAGACTACAGAGAACAGAGTTGACTCATACCACTCAGAAAATGGGTAACAAAAGTAAGAATCAGAAACAGAACTATTAAAAAAATGATCACATTTTTTTATTCATGTGCATGTGCATGTGTGAGCTGCCTACAGAGGTCAGAGGACAGACTGTAAGAGTCTGTTCTGTCCTTCCACCATGTGCGTCCCAGGGATCAACTGGGCAGAAAGCACTTTGCACACTACACTATCTCACTAGCCTAAAACTTGCCAACTTAATTTTTAAAATGAAAAGGCTGAAAATATGAAACCAAGTTTCAGAAGTTCAAAGAGTTTTCTTTTTTGGATAATGTTTTGTGTTTTGCTTTGTTTCGTTTTACAAAGTTTTAACATTTAAAAGCAAAACCAAAAATGATTCTCCCAGGATGTTTTATTATTATTTTTAATTGAACCAAGATCGCATTCTATAGTTCAGGCTTGCCTGAAAATCACTACCTAGGTAAGGTTGGCCTTGATTCCCTGATGAGCCTCCTGCCTCAGCCTCCCAAGTACTAGGATTACAGGCACAAGCCAGAACACACATGTCTCAGAATATTTAGAAGAAAATGAAGGTTAAGGGGGGGGGGGGTGCTGATTGCTAATCTTACAGTTAAACATGGCACTACCTTTTAAATTTAACATATCCTACTTCACTTTTTATAACACTCTAAAGCAAATTAGCACCTTTTATAAATTTATAAGTCACAAACAACAGGGAAAAACAGCTACTTGCCATGTCTCCAGGCATTATAGCTTACCATCAGATAAATTAGCAATCTGTAAATGTTCACTTTCAGTTTGCCATTGTACTACAAAATGGTAACCGTTAAATCAGATTCTGAGTTTAAAGCAGAACCATGTCTTATAACCTTGGGAATGTCTACAGTTGGAGGACTGTAATTCCATTTTGGTTACATGGGCTGCTTCACTGAAGTTTAAACCCTAATAAAATAATTAATGCTTAAAACCACCCTTTCTCCAACTTAATGATTTCTTACTAATAATTAGAATTTCTTTAAAATCCAAATACTGTTCCTCTATGTCATCACAAAGTTCTTCTAGTGTGCAGAGACTGCCTTCCCAGCAAGTCTATTTTTCTCAGCATGAGCCACTGTAACTGTTGCCCTTCAGGCCTGAGTTTGCAGAGTGGATCCTTGCTTTGTTTCATTACTATATTACTAAGTTCTTTGAGATCAGAGAACCAAAGTCTTCTTTATATTCCCACAACATCCATGTAGTAAGACAGTCAATAAATAGGCAGCTAAATGATGTGCTCTTATCTAAAGTTCATTGCAAAGCTTAAAAGTTATAACTTCCACTCACGAGAGTTCAATATACTTATTTATAATTTCTAAAATATAAGTATAAATAAATAAAACAAATGGCAATTCCTTTGTGATTTATGAATACCAGTATTCCATCTGTAATCCATCACAAAAATGTAAATAATGACACAACAGAGGAAACGGACCACCCAGTCAGGACTACTGATCACTCAGTAACAGCAGAATCTAAAGCAGGACTTTTTCTACTCATTGGCAATATGTTTATTCACACAACTTCTGTGTAAGGTGATCTTTAGAATATTAGTGGTGCACGAATTTAATCCCAGCACTCAGGAGGCAGAGGCAGGCGGAACTCTGTGAATTCAAGGCCAGCCTGGTCTACAGAGTCTAGGACAGCCAGGGCTATTACACAAAGAAACCCTGTCTTGCAAAAACAAAAACAACCACAAAAAAAAAAAAAAAAAAAAAAAAAAAGGAGAAGAAAGAAAAAAAGAAAGAAATATTAGGGGAAATCTACAAAAGAACTGACATTCAACACAGAAGTTGTTTTAAAAACCAGTAGGCATTTAAAGATCAGTATAGACCATCCCACTGGAAAAAGGTCCAACAAAATACCAAGCAAAAGTCTATCAGCAAAACATCAAGTCAGAAACCTCGACGCACAGCTGCGAGTCAGGAAGCAGTGAGATAAGGCTGGGTGCACTGCGCCCTCTTCAAGGGTCTCCCCTTACAGCCGTCAAAGCAGCATTATCTCTGCCTCTAGTACAGGGACACTCTGAAAGAACCTTTCACTATGTGATTACAGAGCAGAAGCAAAGTCAGACATGCTACAAGGTGAATGATTTCTTCTCAAAGAAGCTAGGGAGAGCACAGTGCTTCACAAGAAAGCTCAATGGGAAGGATCAAGCACTGAAAACTCCAGTAGTGAGTTATCTTTTATTGCTTAAGAAAACTGGCCTGGGTAATTGAAGGAGGGAAAATTCAACCTAAAGAAAACCTAAATGAGCCTTTCAGAACAAAGAGAGCACTGTGCCACGTGAGCCCATGATGGGAAGGAGAAAACTGGGTTCCTGTCTGAGGAAGCAAGCTAGGTAATGAGTAAGCAGGGGCTGCAGTTTCATCATAGCTAAGGAGCTGGAGAGTACCACAGAGATAAACCTTCAATGAAATAGCACTGGAAAACTGGAATTAAAAAAGCAAGCACCAGCTCTCCTCTCCTTACAGCAGCACAAGTCCCCCAACTGCCATGCTGCTTTCTGTCAGCCTGCTGTAAATCATCTTTGTGTGTGCTCTACTTAAGTGACCATCCCTTAACAAAGGCCATAAAACCAGGGTGATCTTAAAAAGAACTGGGCAAGAGAAATAACAGTTACCTATGGAACTGTGAGTCAAGAGTGAAAGGTGATAAAGAGACGCAGGCTAAGGATCAGCATTTTAGCTTTACAGGGGTGAGTCTGGTGTGGTCACTCTCGTCTGAAGGGTGAACTTTCAAATTGGTGGTTTTGTCACAAATACAGCAAATGTAGCTTTGCCAGGGCAACTATGTCCTTGGAAGTTTGAATGTAACTTAGATACAGCCAGTTACCCTGCTGAAAATTAATGTTCTTTCATTTCCATTTTTAACTCTTAAAAGTATTAATACATGGGACTACTTTTTATTTATGGAAGCAGAATTAGGACTGGCTGTCAACATTTGGAAAGCCAAGCTGGGCTACATAACAAGACCTTGTCTCAAAAGTAAGTAAATGGGATGAAGAGCTAGCCAGCAATTAAGAGCTCTTGCTGTTCTTACAAAAGGACCTAAGGTAAGGGTTCAGTTCCCAGTATTCACATGGTGGCTCACAACCATCTGTAATTCTAGTTCCAGGGGATCTGATGACCTCTTCTGACCTCTACAGGTACCAGGCACACATCTGAAGCACATATATATGCAAGCAAACACCCATAAAATAAGCAAGTCTAAAATACTTAAATAAAAAAAATTTTAAAAGAAGCAATTTTATGTTTAGGAAAGAAATCCTATAGTAATGTAAATGACATTAATTTCTGGATGAGAGGACTTTCACGGACTAAATGTTCCTAAGCTATTTGTTTAATAACCAACAAAACCAAGAGTAAAGCTTTCTACACAGAACAGTTTCTGTTAGCACACAGCAATTACACATACCCCAGATCCTTCATCAAGCCAATGTCTTCTTACACAACTACACATGAAGTTATCATGTAAAAAGCACACTAGAAGACTGAGCAGCTCATAAAAATAGAGAGTAGTGCTTTTTCATTAGTGGGCAGGTGTCTACTTATTCATTTATTCATGCAAAACAGTCACTGAAGAATTCTTTAGTTTAAGACTATTTATTTTTAGTTCCTTTTTGTTTTTTTGTTTTGTTTTGTTTTTTTTGGAAAAAAACAAACATCTCTTACATTAGTTCCCAATTTTAACATGGCTGTTCCACATAAATTCATTACAATATAAACTTTGGGTGTAATGGAAAGGGAGTCAAGGCAAAATAATTTTCATGGAGAGCTTTCAAGCCTTTCTCAGTTACAGTGAAAAAGCAAACTGTATTTCTGTTAGTTTGTTCTTGAAGAGAGAGACTGACAAGTCAAAGGCTTTTAGCATGTGTTTACTTCCTAACAAGATGATGGACTCACACCGTGAAACAGCTGATCATAACTGGATTCTTCAGCAAGAAGCAGGCATTGGCACTAGAGCCAGCTGGAGTAATGGCTCCAAGTAGCTCTAGGACACCAAGGCCTATTTGATGTGGAAGAGTCAACTGAGGAACATGCCGCCCACATGAGCGCTCCTTCGCCCTGTGCTTTTCCAAGGCCTTGCAACATCACTGGCCCAGCTGTTAGCCAGATGGAAGCACATGAGCCAGAGTGTGAGAATAAAAATATTAGCATTATTTCCATGGCACTAGTCACGTGGTTATTGTAGAAATAATCAGCATTAGCATACTACAATATTTGTTTTGTTCTTGAATGTCGTTATACCCTAAAGGGGAAATTTATCTTTATTTGAAAAGGTTAAAAAAGGAAAGTACACACTATATATCTTTGCTGGGAAACTGTGGGAAATGGGTTTGTTGAAACCATATGGAAAGGAAGAAGGAATCAATTAAAAACAGAAATCTAATAAATCTAAAATATTTCCAAATGAAATGCTTGTGGTAAGCTAATTTCTTGTAAACACTGCACTCCATCCCTTGAACAGCCCCAGATGCTGAGCTAACTTTGTGGTCTTCAATGAAAGTCATCCAAAAACACTAAAGTGACTACAACTTTATATTTGAAGAAGTAGGAAACAAGAGAGCCATGATCAACCAATGGTACTTTTTATTCCTTTGAAATTTTTAAGAGTTGTGGAGCTTACTAGATAGACAATTTCAGCTAAAATTCAAATTTACGTATGTCAAAAGAAAAATAAAAATTTAAATAATATTGAAGTCAAAAGTGAGGCAAATCTGTAATTATTGATATAAAATACTTTTTAAAATGCCGTATTTTTAAAATACACTGTAAGGTCTACTATCATAATTTCCATGTACTTTTTCCTGGTTGGTACCTTTAAAATATTTAAGGTTCAAACCTTTTCTTAAAAGCTGGTCTACACATCGCAGCTTATGCCTTGGCCAAAAATGACACCTGGAGGCATAACCACGTATGTCCCTTACCTGCTGCACTGTTAATAACCCATTGGAAGATTCTGGCCCAGGCTGCATAGGGAGGAGTTGGCAGACCGAGCCTAGAAGTAAAGCGACTTCCTTCATACTCCTCCAGCAGCACACCAGGACCATCTGAGCCGTTACGTCACATGTTTTTCCTTCTTTACCTTAAGGAACAAAACAAAAACTATTGCACATCTCAGGTTTCTCAGAACACGCTTATTCATAATTTCCCCAAGAATGATCTGTTTGAACAAACAAATCTGTCATATGTTCTATTTATTCAGAGAAAACAAAACACATTAATATTTGAAGAACACACACTATGAGGAAGAAACATGTTAGCTTTTAGTTACTTCCAAAAAAATTAAAATGAAACACAATACTGCCTCAAAACTTAGGGCTGCCGTTTGAATATTGATGAAACAAACTTTCCAGCTCTCTGTCACACATAAAGTACTACGTGGTTGATTATTTAAAAAAAGAAAAGTACTTCTTCTTTACTTTGGTGAGAATGGTTGTTTTGTCAGTTACGGAATGGATAAACCTATTGTTGGTATTTTGGTTTTGCTTTTTATACACAGGGTCTCCTTATGTAGCTCTGACTGCCCCAGACTCACAACCCTCCTCATCTAGCCTCCTGGGTGCTAGGATTTCAGCATGGTCTTCCATGCTTTCCTAAGAGAGATTTTTTTTTTAAAGATTTATTTTTGAACATTTATTTTTGAAGATTTTATTTCTATTAATTTATTGTGTGTACGTGTGTCACGCCACATGTGTGAGAGTGCCTGTGGCAATCAGAGGACATTGGATCTCCTAGAGTTACAGGCCATTGTGAGCCACTTGACACTGGTGCTGGAAATGGAACCCAGGTCCTCTGGAAGAGCAAGTGCTCTTAACCATTAAGCCACTGCTCCAGACCCTAAGACAAAACTTTTAATCCATCTTTTCATCTTTTCTTTCTTTCTCTCTTTTTTCTTCCTTCCTTTCTCTCCTTTTCATTTTTTTTTTTTTTAAATGCACATGAGTGCTTTGCTTGCTTGTGTATCTGTGTACATGTGTGCCTGGTGCTCACAGAGGCCAAAGAAAGGTAATGGATCCCCTGGAACTAGAGTTACAGACTGTTGTAAACAGCATGTGAGTGCTAGGACTGAACCTAGAGCCTTCAAAAGAACAGCCAGTGCTCTTAACTGCTGAGCTATCTCTTCAGCCCCACACAGAACTTTTAAAACCAATATAAAGTAACAATTATCTTTCAAAATATATTTAAATCACACGGCAATAACCTAAATGTACTCTTACTTATTCTCTTATCTTAGTTGTAGGTGTATTTTAGCACTGGTATTAAAAAACCTATTAAGATTTAAAAAAAAGTTAACAAAAGCTTATTCTACTCACTTGCTTTTGTAAGAAAAGCTTACTGAACTAAAAGAATAAATACACTTACACATATACACACAGCATGGGTAGAAAGGCTTCTACACAAAAGGGGGGAACTGGGGAGGAAATGGAACATGACTTTGCTTTAAATTTATATTTCACGGCTACAGTGAAAACATATTTTTATAATTTTAAAGATACAATTGCAAAGAGAATTTTTTGCAAGACAATAACCCCACCTAGTGGAGAACACAGCCACAGGATAAATCACTAAGAAATTACTGCTTGTGGTAACTTTTTATCAGTAACAGCTGATAAAGTAAACCACACAGACTAGAATTCTGGAGGCTTGGTATAACACAGAAGCACATACTCTGTTCGGGGTTATGATTTCCTTTAAAAGGATACTGATTTCAAGAACTCCCACAGCAGACACCAGCAAAGGAAGAAGATTTGGGTGGCATCACCCAAATCATCATCATCATGTGCCCTGCTATCACCAGCTGGGCTGTTACAGGGTCTTATAGCCAAAAGCTTTGTGTTGTAGCATCATCTATGTTGAAGTCAGGTGTTCCATTTTCTGGTAAAGCTCTTATGAAGTCATTTCAAAACCCAAATTAAGAAGAAAAACTTTGTTTTCCAGAAATGTTCTGCAGATCTGCACGCTCTTTTATTATCCAAAGGGCGTTCTAGACTGGAAAGATGGCTCAGCAGTTAAGAGCGTGTACACTCTTATAGTACCCAAGTCAGGTTTCAGCATCCACATCAGGCAACTCACAACTGCCTACAACTTCAGCTCCATGAGGATCTGACACCTCTGGCCTACACAGACACCTGCACTTTAGGTGTGTGCATACACGCACATCTGCACACGTGTGCACACACACATTATTTAAAATAAAACAATTTTTAAAAAGAAAGTCTGTGTATTTTAAATTACTGAAATACTTGTGGTCAGTGTACAGTGGTATAGGTTCATTAGTCTAACACTAGCCTAGCATGCCTTACAGGGCTGAGTTCAAGCCCCAGCAACACAAAAACACACACAGTCCATAGACACACACACACAGAAACTAATACCACTGTTATTACAACAGTTTCATCTTCCTTACCTTTGATTTCTGTAGAACTATCAATATTGGAGACACTGGTACTCAAGTCCTCCAAATCAAAGCTATCACATTCTTTCAGCATTTTGGCTTGGCTGAAGTACTCATTTGTGTCCCGTGGCTGAATCTCATTGAGAATGACTTGCAATCGGCTTGCTGACTCTGCAGAAAATGTAAATATGCATGAATGCCCAGTCCCAAGTCAAGTGCAGGTTTCCTCAACTAACTCAAATTTGCTGTAATTTTCCACAGTGAAAGTCAGCTGTACTCAGAGGATGTAGATGAAAGTTACATAGGGGCTTCATGATAGTAGTGTTTACTCTTAGATATGACAGTTTAGGCTGAAGAGATGAAAAACACAGTTCAAACACCCACCGTTCAAAGGCTAACATGACTGTTTTCCTGAGTTATCTAGATTCTCAGAGACAGTGCTTAATCATGTGCAAGAAGTACAGGAGAACCTGTTTTCTAGCCTACAATGTAAGTTAGAGAAATTGAAAAATAAAACTGTATTATAATAGCTTAAAAAAAAAATCAACACCACATAACCTTTTGTAACATAGGCATATGAAGATGCCATATTTGGCTTAGAAAAGGGGAAAACATGGCCTTCTCAGCATGATGAACAGTGCTAATATTTCATGAAATGTCTTTTTTTACTTGCCAGGCACTCACTAGAGAAGGAGTAAAGTATAGAAAGGCAGCCCTTTGTTCACTGCTGAGTCACCAGTGCCTAAAACAAACCTGACTCAGCACAGAGGTTCAGGAAATCGGGCTGAATTAATGGGATGGTGGATGGGTAGTAAGTCACCCAAGCTCTAGTTTTTAGAAAGTATGAACAAGTAACCCATCACATGGGATGAACAGAAAAATGTAGGAGGAGGCACAGACAGCAAACAACTATTCAGGCATTATGGGAAATTCACAGCTCAAATTGTCTTTGTGGGCATTCAACCAACATCTTATGCTTATTTGTTGCTTCCTTGAGATCTTGTCAAAACAGCAAATTTTAACAGCCAGGGGAAAAATTAACAATAACCCCTCTCCGGGGGGTTGGGGGGGGAGGAAGCCATGAAAGAGTACAGAAAAAGAGAAATGATCAGAACAAAGTTTTAAGAATTCTATCCATCTAGCTGGCTCTTGAGCACACCTTTCTCAAGGGGGTTCAAAATATATGGCCTATAAAAAAGGCAAGTGGCAGGAAAAAATATAAAGAGCAAGGAAAAAGAAAAGGGAACATTCAGGAAAAGTCTGTAGCTAAAGACAGTATCTAAGACAAGCTTTCTTAAATTTAAAATCTTTTTTATTTTCTTTTACATTTTCCCATACAATATATTTTGATTATATTATTTCCCCTCTCTGCCCATTATTTCTCCTGAATCTGCCCAGATCTTCCCTATCTGACAACAAAACCTCTTATGCATACTCTGCAAGCTCTATTTACATTAGGGAACTGAAACATTCACTATCTCTTATTCAGGATCTACCAGTACTTGCCTGAGCCAATGACTACTAACAAGAATCTGCATGTTTCTTATTCCTTAGTACTATGTACCAAGAGAACTAAAGCATCAAAATTCAGTATTTAGATTAACATGAGCCAAATAACTAACTCTGTCTTAGAATCATGAATTATCACTGATTTTCATCACAAGGCAGAAAAACACAGACACCACTCCTATAAAATTAGTTTCCTGAAGGGCAGATCCTGGGGAGAAGAGCATTAGGACACAAACTGGACAGCGAGCAGATGACAAACCACTATAGGACATGGTCAGAGGGCACTAAAGTATTGAAGTGAGACAAAACAAAAGGCTAAAGACTATGTGTCATTCAAATTATAAATGATATGGTTAGGAAAAAGTAATTTGAACATTATTAGAAGGATTACAGGGAAATTCATATGGAAAGATCTAGAATAAGCTAAGAAAACCGAAAATTACCTGGAGAGAATGAGAAGATGAAATGAAAAAGGAAAAATATTTTAACCAGGAGTTTTTAACCCTGAAAGAAAACGGACATGCACTGGGTATGAGGGGGGAGACTGCCAAGCAGCCCTAAAGCCCTGACCTGCACAGAGATCCAATGAAGGAACATATGCAAAGAGGCAGAGACATGAGAAAAAAAGCAGATGAGAATTCCCGAGTTCAATTGTGGGTAACGATTTCCTTCCATTTCTTCCATCATCTGGTCTTTGTCCATTTCACATTCCCAGCAAGCTGTCTTTTCTGACCACTCCATCAGCAGCCTACCTCACAGATTTGTACTACCTGCTCTGAAAAACAGTACTATAAAACCCAACTAATCTTGTTAATCACCTGGTTCCCTGGAGCTTGGTGGTCATTTTGTATAAAGAGTGTTTGCAACTTTTTTGGTCTTTTTATTTTTTTATTGGTTATACATAATGGGTATACCAATGTATATAAATTTAGAGCATATTTCCCTTATATTACCATCTCTGGTCCTCCTCACTGCTATTACCTCCTCCTTTGTTCCAAGTAGTCCCTCATCTACTTCATGTCTCCAACTCTTTTTTTTTTTTTTTTTTTTTTTAATGATAACTCAATGGATTACAGTGCTTGCTTACAGACAGACAGATGAGTGTGTTTACAGAAACAAGGGCACCTTACTGGTGACTTCACATCTGTGTAAAATGTCTCTCCTGCTGGGGACTTTTTCCCCCTTTGGTTTTTCAAGACAGGGTTTCTCTGTATAGTCCTGGCTGTCCTGGACTCTCTCTATAGACAAGGCTGGCCTTGAACTTACAGAGATCTGCCTGTCTCTGCCTCCCCAAGTGCTGGGTTAAAGGCATGTGCCACCATGCCCAGCTTTTTAATAGTTGCAAGTATTATTAAAAGATTAGAAATAGCATGAGAAAATATTTTCCCCTGGATTTAGCTTTTGTATCTCTCCAAAGGAATAAGAAGGAGATATACAAGAGACAGAACTGCACGGACCCTCATCTGCTGACCTGAGTCAGTGTCCATAGGGATGAGGCCTTCGGGGGAGGAGCTCTGGATGACAGGAGACACCACAGCAGAAAGCCTGTAGGACAGGAGCAGAAGCTTCCCCAGCACTGTCCTCCACTCACCCACCAGCCGCAGGTCGCTGCAAACACAGTACAGACATTTACATTAAAATGCAAAAACTCATTTGAAAAGAAAATTAACACAAAAAGGAGGTGAAAGAATCTGTGGCTTAAAACTATGTGGTATATAAAATATTAGGAGCTCAAAACATGTATGTATGGGTAGATAACTAAATCTAATTTTCAATTCTTTTTAAGGCATTCCTTTCCCAAGGCACGCTCCACTAAGAATCTACAGATCAGACATAAGCACATTTCTAAAACAAAATATAGCTGTGGACATTCTTACTTGAGAGGCAACTTCTGGAAAGCTCTTGTTATACAGTGGACTCTCCCATACATTGGAAATGAAGATGCGGCCTGAAGCAGAGAGTTCTCAGCCTGAGATATTTCATCCTCAAGATTTTCCATCAAGCATTTAATAACTAGAAAAAGCAAACAGAAACTGAAATAGCCTCAGTTATAAAACAGTTATAATTAGAAAAATATTACAGCCAGCTCAATCAACTAAAAGTTCTACTAGAGATTCTGTACATATTACACACGCAAACGTGTGCATGTGTGTGCATATGTACAAGTGAAAGCCAGAGACCTCTGGCTGGGCTCTTCTCCACGCTGGATATCTTATCCAATCGATCCCACCTTATTTGCTGAAGGCAGGGTCTTTCTGAACGTAGGCTCAGTGAGGCTTGCTGGCTGGCTGGTTAGCTTGGAGAAGCACCGTGTCTCTGCCTCCGAGGCTGGAATGGCAGGTGCACATCGCCACACCTGGCTTTTTACATAGATGCTGACAATCACAACTCAGATCCTCAAGTCAGCACAGCAAGCACCCCACCAAAGGAGTCATCTCCCAGCCCCTAGATTTCTCAGGGGTATCAAAGCCTGTTACCAATTTCTAGTTAAGACACTACTAAAGAACAGAATTCATTCACTTATTTGCCAGGGTTCATGATGACATTCACTCTGAGCCACCCTCTAGATGGGTGTCAGACTCCAGGACCATGTAACAAGGGCTAATTGGCCAAAAATGACACTTAGTGACAGTGTATTCAAAATAGAATTCAGACACCATGAAATTCATATGTGTACAAGTTGGGCCAGTAAGATGGCTTAGAGGGTAAAGGAGCTTTCAGTCAATCGTGATGACCTGAGTTAGATCCCTAGATCCAGTCGTGGTAGAAGAGAATTGGCTCCTGAAGTTGTCCTGACATCCATACTGTTGCACAAACACACATACAATAAATGCAATAAAAATCAGAGTGGACAAGTCAATAATTTTTCTGTCATCATATATACACAAACATAAACATTATCTAGAACATTTCATTGCCAGTGACACATAGTACACACACACATAAAAGAAACTGTACTCAGCAGCAGTGATCACTCCTGTAGCTTTGCTCTGCTTTTTGTAACCACTGACTTACTCTGTCCCTATCAATCTGCCTATTCTTAGCCAGGTGAAGGGATATGTACCTGTAACCCTACAATTTTGGGAAGCTAAGGTGGGGAGACAGAGTTCAGAACCAGCCTGGCTACATAGCAAACCGGAAGCCGGCCTGAGATACGTGAGATGCTGTCTCAAAACAACAACAAAGGATCTGCACTGACTCCAATCAGGTCTCATAATGTCTTTCAAAGTTCATCAAGCTGTAGCAATACTTCATTCTTTCATATGGCTGAATAACAGACCACTGTACAGGCATAACACACTTATCCCTTTAGCAACTGATGTCACATGATTTAGTGCCGCTTTTAGACCAGTATGGATAACAAAACTACCAACACTCTTGTACAATTTTTGCCTGGGCATATGCTTTCATTTCAATGGATACTTACAGGCTGAATGTCTGTGTACACAGCCTCAATCCTAGCAGTGCATATTCTATTTTCTCTACAACCCTATTAATATTTACAATTTGGGGTTTTCTTATTCCACTTGGAATGAAGTCTTTCCTCTGTGATTTTGCTCTGCATTTCCCTTCAGGCGATGGTACTGAGTGTTGCGTCCTATACTTGCTGTTCGCTTACCTAGCATGCACAGTCCTGGGCTGCCGCTAGGAAATCCCTGCGACAACCCTGCACTATCTGGGGAAGGCAGCTCATGACAATAATCTCATCACTCAGAAGGTGAAGACAGGATGAAGCTTGCTAACTACACAGCAAGCTTCAGAGCAAGCTTCAGGTCGACCAAGGCTACATCAGATCCTATTCAAAAAAAGGAGGCGTAAGAGGTGGAAAGCTGGAAGAGCTCGACAACCCTTATAGATCCCAGTTTCAATCACCAGCACTGATATAAAAGTTTGGTGTGATACACACATTTGTAACCGCAGTGGTGGGGTGGCAAGCAGAAACAGGCAGATTCTGGAGGTTCCCTGACTAGACAATCCAGCAGAAACAGCACGTTCCAGGTTTAATGAAGAGACTGTCTCAAAAATTAGGGTAGAGGGCTGGAGAGATGGCTCAATGGTCTTGTGCTGCGCAGACATGTGGACCTGAGTCAGATCCCACAGCCAGGCAGGAGCTGGAAGCCACAACCCTAGCTCTGTGGCAGATGGACAGGGGGATCTCCGGGGCTTGCTGGCCCCTAGTGCAGCTCCAAGCTCAGTGAGAGAGCTTGCTTCAAGAGAAGAAAACAGATGGTAGGACAGGACACCAAATCCTCTCCACTGGCCTCTGTGTACACACACATGTGTGCGTACAGCACATGCACGTACTCATATACATAGTGTTTTTCTAAGTTTTAAAAAATAATTTAAAATATGAGGTAGAGAGGTGATTGGATAAAATATCCCAACATCAAAGTAACTCTGCTTTGTACAGACATAATGAAGATGATCTGTCTATGGTCACAAAAAAATAATAATAATAACATAGGAAAAAGTGTATTTTGAGTAAAAAAGAAAAGAAGTTGTTCTTCTTAAAATGTGCCTTATTAATGTATACTTGTGTATCTACTTATTTAGCATAATTCTTCTGTTTAGAAACAGGTGTTAGTCAGGTGGCGGTGGTGCACACTTTAATGCCAGCATTAAGAAGGCAGAAGCAAAAAAAAAAAAAAAGAAGGCAGAAGCAGGCAGGTCTCCAAGTTTGAGGGCAGCCTGGTCTACAGAGCTAGTTCCAGGACAAAGAGCTACTCAGAGAAATCTTGTCTCAAATAAACAAAACAAAAAGAAAAAGAAGTATTAAAGATGAGTAAATTTAATTTGCATAAATGGTACACATGTTCTCATATGTGTTGGCAAATTCTTAAAATACAAGCAAGTGAATATCCAGCCAATAGGTACTCTAACCAAATAGAAAATAAAATACAGAGTTTGTAAGTTACAACAAAAGGTCGCCTTCTCAATACAAACCTACTAAAGTGTTCTTTTCCACCACAACAGACTTCTCTCGCACTCCATGTGTGAGCTGTTGTGCTGAGGAGGCCGACAGGGAGGCTGGCAAAGCATCCTGCCATATCAGCAAGTTCAGCAGGTAGGAGGCTGTCACACAGTCATATGGTTTCGTGCTGGTGCTGAGCTCCAGTGCTGCCTGGAACAGGCCTTGCAGCATCTCCGAATCCTAAAGCAGAGCACAGTCTCAGTCACCACGCAGAAAGGAACTTGAAGGAACAATGTATTTCAACTCACTGCCCACCAACTGGGTGAGGCCCTTATGAACTCAAGCGATGGTGCACTGATTTTCTTCATGAACCCAGGCCACCCTGTCATAGTACTTGGTACAGCTCCCAGCTTACGTTTGATCTGAGCCATGTTCTTGTCCTTTCCCTGTCTCCCTTTCCAAAAAACTGGCTCCTCACGCTAAAAACTCCACACGAGTGGAGAACAAAGGACCAGACGGAACTGGGCATCCAAACTCTTACACCCGTGTGTCAGGTAAAGCTCTACTCATGTTGTGCACAGAACAAGGGAGAGCTCACTGTAACAACTCGGAAAGGGCACTAGACCGGCGACAGAAGACATGGATCCCAGTTAACCCCACAGTTACAGCTGCATGTTCACCACTCTGGACATCCGTGTGCAGTTGCTCAATAATATTATGATTCTTTTTGGACTGTTCAAGAACTACCTAACAGGAGGGATTAGAAACTCATTTCTGGATTTGATTATTAGTACACTGACATTTAATATGTCAAACAATTTCAAAACAGTAGATAGCAAACACACTTATTTGAATATCAGTTTGTTTCTATCCAAATTCTTTTCTACTTGATATTACAGTAAATCTTAAACTACACTACCTTTAAGTCAGTAAGCGACAAAATAAACAGCCTAAAAACTGAAAAGAGTTTTATTCCTTTTGATCAAAATATTAATACAAGAGACTCTAGAGATGACACAGTGCCTAACAACTTGAGTCAGATCACTGGAACCAACATGGTGTAAAAAGAGAATCAACTTCTGCAGGCTGTCCTCTGACCTAAACACCCACGCACGCACGCACGCACGCACGCGAACACACAAATAAATGGAAATGTAATTCGAAAACTTAAAATATTAATGCACCATAAAGATGTAGGATTTGTAGCTCCACAGAAAGAATGGAAGTAAATCAGACGAATAGTAAGGACATATCAGAAAGACATGCCATCATAGACATTTATTACACATACACAGGGTATTAGAGTGTTTAGGCTAATGTTCAAGGAATATTTTAATATTAACTTAAACTGTTCAAAAAATTATGTACCAGACAAGATATAGGATACAGTACAGTGGAAATACATAATCAATATTTTTAAATTATTTTTTAAGTAGAAGGTGATCAAATCTTTTAATTACATTATTTATTTGGGGGTAGGGAGCTGAAAGGAACTTGCACACCGCACACTATGGTACTCACGTGGTGGTCAGGGGACAACTAAAAGAACTGTTTCTCTCCCTCTGTCATGTAGAGTGCAGAGACAAAACCCAGGTCACCCAGCATGGAGACGAGCACCTTTAGCTACTGAGCCATCTTGCCTGCCCTATTTTAAAATCTTAAATATTTATGTCAACCATTTTACTAACATGCAACAAGACCTGATACTATAACCAAAATCCTCACTTAAACCACATGAGGCAAAAATTTCTTAGATTCCACAGTATCTCTGTGGCAAGCACATGTTCATGGAATTAAAGAGGCAGGTCCTTTCAGAGTCCTTCACAGGTTCTGTAAGTACCAGGCCTTTCTATAATTTACCTTCTCACTCAGAGTTCTCAAAAATTATTTGAAAGGAATGAGGCATAGCTAATCTATATGATAAAAAGCTACATGAGATGAACAGTAAAGGAGATTGTGCTGATAGAAGAAAAATCTGTTTTTAAATTCCACAGGGCACAGGAGTTGAGCAGAAAGCACCAAAGAATCCTATGCTCATAAAGGCACCCTGGAAGACTACAGGCACAGATAAGATTCTGGGCAGCAATTCCTAACCTGGACCAAGTCAGAACAATGGTACCCCGAGAGCTTGCAATGCCACACCAAAGACACAGAAGCAACAACACAATGCTGTCAGTCTGGCGCTGCTCTTCTGAATCCTACCCCTATAAGACGATGTCAAGCTATATGTCATATCCTGAATATAGCAGCTGCAGCCCTCAGGCCCCTTGGCCTCTGGAGAGTGCTAAGGGAAGGAAGGCTGTAGCAAAGCTCTATACCCACTATGTTCCTGGTAACCCCACATCCCTGGGGTCCAATGCACCCCCCCTTTACATTGTGCCCTTACTCCTAATCCCATCTTTGTTTCCTATCCAGGGCAGGAAGAACAGTGTTAGGCAGAGGGCTGGGGTGAGTGCCTCAGCTGAGAACTGCTGCTAACCTCAAATATTTTGAGGTTTCAGTCTTGGTTTAGCTACTGCTTTTTGAAAGACCAGAAACACATTCTCCACCTCATTTCCACTCAGCTTCTCGGTCTGCTAATCAGGAAGATTATCTTTAAAACCTCAAAATTACTGTAAGTGATATGTTTTGAGCGAATATTACAAGCCCAAGTGAACTGTGGAGACCACAAAACTGAAATCTACCAATTAGCTTGTAAATAGCAAATCCTACTGCCTCCTACACCTCCATTTCCATCAAAGCAATTTTTAAAAGTATAGCCCAATGATGTGGATTTTTACCATTTCCCACCCCTGCAGGATCAGATAATAACTGAAAGAAATACTCAAAAGACCTAAGGAGGCAAACAGCTGGGACAATTCTGACTGCCTTAAGTAAGATTAAACAAAAGTTCTACGTTCACACATATTTACATGAGTAAAACCCAAATACCTGGAGGTGTGCAGCTGTTACTGATGACAGCTTCATCAGAAGATCGAATGCTAACGTTTTCACTTCTTCAAAAGTACTCGCAAAGCATTCCAGGAGTATGTGGAAACGGCCAGCATCAATATCATGACTCAGCTGATATACTGTTTGGATGTTGCCTTAAAATTTTAAATAAATGACATCATTTAAAAATTAATTATTTAAAAAAAATCAATGGCTCAAAGTTATCTGGGCAAATATTTATGTAAGATCAGTACAAGAACTCATACTTCCTGCTCCACACACAGTAAGATTTCATTTCATACTTTCCACAGAATACACTATGCACAATAGTATAAAACTTCATCTCTTCAAATGACAAAGTACTACAGCTTTACAAATATATAACAGCTATTTCTAAGGATTAAAAACACTGCATTCCTTTTCAAAAAGTCTGAAAGATCACTTAGTTACTTTTAAAATAAAAATAAACAAATAAATTTAGGAACACGCCTTTTTAAAAATCTTCATGGGGCTAAAAAGATGATTTAGAAGCTAAATATTACTTGCTGCTCTTATGGAACACCCATGCGGTATCTCATAGCCATCTGTAACTCCAGTCCAGGAAACCCAATGCCATCTCTGGCCTTGGTGGGCACCAGGAACACAGAAGATACATGCAGGCAGATGAACGTTCGTGTGCATAAAATAAATCTTTAAAACAAACAAACAAAAAGCTTACTGACCCAAGATCCAAAGTCTAAAAAGTAAGCTGGCTGGCACATACTGATAAGCATGACGTTTCCTATAATCTTCTATTTTGACCCAAATTGCTGACATAAAATCTACATGATCATAGTGTGTATTTCATTTTGAGAATTAATTTTTTATTTTATGCATATGAGTGTTTTGCCTACATATATGTATGTATACCACATATGTTCCTAGTGTCCACAGAAGTCAAAAGAGGGGATAAGATTCCCTGGAAGTAGAGTTATAGACAGTTGTGAGTTTCCATGTGGGTCCTGGACTCGCACCTGAGTGTTCTACAGGTGCAGGGATTACTCTTATCCACTTGGCCATTTCTCCAGTCCTGTGGACAGTATGTTTAATATGCTGCTGGGTTTTGTTTGCTGTAGTACCTTCCTGAAGCTTCTGCATCTGTATTCATAAAGATACTGGTCTACAGTTTTCTGACAGAGCCTCTATTTTTACATTTTTTATTGCATGTCTTTATTTGTGGGGGCCTGGGCATGCACACACATGCCATGGTACATGTGTAGAGGTTAAGAACAACCTGCAAGAGTCAGTTCTCTCCTTCCACCATGTGCGAGTTAGGGACTAAACTAGGGAGGCAGGCTTGGCAGTAAGGCCTTCACCCACTGAGCCATCTTGCTGGGCCTCTTACAGAACCTTATTTGCCTTTCTAATGAGCTTTACAGCATGAGTTAGGAAGTCATCCCTCCTCTTCAGTTCTGTGAAAGACTGTGAGAAGGGATACCTCTTATTATCTGATGGAATTTACCAGTAAAGGCACTTGTCCTGACTTTGCTTTGTTAGAATACTTTTTTGATTATTTATTTGTTTTAAGACAAGGTCTTGGCTATGTGCAACAGGTTGCCTTCTAATCTGAGATCCTCCTGCCTCAGCCCTTCAAGTGTTGGGATTAAAAGCATATATCATCATATCCAAATGCTGGGAGGTCTTGATTACTGCTTCAATCTATTTACTGATTACAGAATTATCCTTTGTTGAGCTGGAGAGATGGCTCAGTGGTTAAGAGCACTGTCTGCTCTTCTAGAGGTCCTGAGTTCAATTTCCAGCAACTACATGGTGGCTCACAACCATCTATACTGGGTTCTGATGCCCTCTTCTGGAGTGCAGGGGTACATGGAGACAGAGCACTCATATACATAAAGTAAATAAATAAATCTTAAAAAAAAAAGAGAGAGAGAGAATTATCCTTTGTTTCATAGTTTTATTTTTTTCTTTTTACCGGAATCAACATGTATATTTCATGTGACAATTTAATTTGTTGGCATGCAATGTTTTTATATGATTTCTGAAAGTGTAGTGATCTTCATGCAGATGGCTATACAAGAAGCCACATTTTAGCCACAAGGCTTATTCATCTTATATATTAAATATAAGACAAGCCATTACGGTTTTCACTTTAAAATTAAGAGATGAAGCCCTTTCTTGTAACAGCACAAATAAATGTGGCAGGGAAGTTTGGGAAGTCTTGGTGCAGTAAGCCAAGAGGATCCATGAAACTTTGCATGTGTTTGACAAATAGTAATGAACAAAAAGAGGAGACAGTTTTTTTCCCATTTGCCCTTCACTAGCAACTTTAATTATGTACAAATGAGGGCTATATACTAAAAAGGAATCTAAAGAAGACAATAAAATTGAAATGTCAACAAAGCAATATGCTAACAAAGAGTTATGTTTCCCAGACATTGTTGAAGCTTACCTTCTGAGGCAGGAAACACCTCAGCTACTGATCCTAAAATGGTTAAAGCTGAAAACCTAGTTGAGTAGGAAGATCCAGGAAACAATGCTTCGAAAAGAATATTGCAAACAGATGACATGAAATTCTAAAATTAAGAACAAATCACAATTAGGCATAATTAAGTAAATGGGCAGTTGGTCAGGGTGGTTCCTTTCAGGATAAGTATTTCTGCTACCTGTAACTCAGGGTAAAGGCTCTGCTGATACTCTCCTAGCTGTTTGAATGTCAGCTTGACACCTACTAGAGGTGGATAGTTTATCCCCTAAAGACGCATCTGCTTCAAGTTTGACCACCAATGGGAGGGTATGAAAGTGGGGGAGAATGGGAGCTTTAAGAGGCAAGGCCTGGTGGAAGGAATTACCCAGGAATTGATTAATTCCACTGGGGTGAACCAGGTTACTTTTAAACTCTGAGTTTCTAAGGGGGTGGGTGTGAGGCTACAGGTTTACTTTCTCAACTTGCTCTCTCACCTTCATGCCTAAACATGTGCTTCTCCCACACGGTGCCCACCACTCTGCTATCTCGTGACATGGTCAGGGAACCGTCAACTCTGCTGTCTGGTCTTTCCAGCCACTAACACTCTTCTTCATAACCTCGATCCTTTCCAAAGTACCCTCCCTCAGGTGTTTGATATAGCAACACAAAAGGGACAATACTCAAGGCCAAACTACATCATGACTTTATAAAACCCTGTCCTCACAGACTCAATGGGATAAACAAACAAACACAGTTTTAGAAAAAAACAAGATCTACTCAGGCCCTGTCTGTGCCAGGGCTTTACAAATCCTGACTTCTCTAGACAGAAGTCATTAGGCATCAGAGGGATGCAGCTTTTCAAAGTTTCAGAGAAAACAAAGATTCAGCCAATAAAGACTACCAAATTGACTGTAACACAATTTATACAAAGATCTAACTATTCCATTGTTTTCTACTTGTCCCAAGGCTCATACGCTACCGTTCTACTTATACAAATGATTTTTTAGAAAACTTTTAATCAGGGAGCTGGAGAGATGGCTCACTTGTTAAGAGCACTGTCTGTTCTTGCAAAGGTCCTGAGTTCAATTCCCAGCAACCACATGGTGGCTCACAACCATCTATAATGAGATCTGGTGACTTCTTCTGGCCTGGAGGAATACATGCAGGCAGAACACTGTATACATAATAAATGATAAATTAAAAAAAAAAAAAAGAAAACTTTTAATCAACAGGACCCCAGGCATGAACACTCACAAGAGGTGAATATATATGCCTTTGTCAGTTTATATTGTGGTTACTGAGACAATCTCATGGATGCCATTCTGGTTCTGACCTTTTTATGTAGCAGACCTTTATGTAGTGACCTTCAATTCTAACCCTCCTGCTTCCAGATGGTAAGTGCTGAGACAACAGGCATGTACACCACCTGCAGTCCCACATATCCACATGCTGGATTTCATAAACAGCTTGAGATGCAACACATAGCTTTATGCATACTAGGAAAGCACTCTACACAAACTAACTCAGATTAAGTCTCTAAGGCCTAATGTTCAAAACATGCATAGCTGTCAGACATGGTATACTTGACTATAATCGCAGCAATCAGAAAACTAAGACAGGAGCAACACAGTTTGAGGCCAGCATCGGCTACACAGTAAGGCCTTGTCTCAAGAGAGGGGAAAAGGAAGATCCATAGCAAAAACTAAAACACAAGCATTTGTGAAAATTTAGAATCTCAATCCACACAACAGGCTTTATGTTCCTATGTGCTTAAGTGATATTCCATGAATGCCATGTCACTCCTTTCAGAGAGAAGCAAGATATGTTTATATCCTCTAATCCAGCAATGACCTAAGAAAGGCAATGAACACTCACTCTCAAACACAGGGCGGAGCTCCACATGGATTCTAAACCACTTTTCCTGGCTCCTAGTGAAGTTTTTTAAGTTTTATTAATTTATTTATTATGTGTGTATTTATACACGGGCAGCACATGTCACTGTGCCCATGTGAAGATCAGATGACAATCTGCAGGAGCAGGCTTTCTCCATGTGGAGTCTAGGCCTAGCAGCAAGCCTTTTAACCTGATGAGCCATCAGCTCAGGTTTACCAAAGGTTTCTTGCTTAATTCTCAAAACCAAGTTGGGAGTTTTCATTTGTTTTGGTGATTTTGCTTTCTCTGTATGGTTTGGTTGTTTGTTTTTAAGACAGAGCTCACTAAGTAGCCTTGGCTGACCTACAAAGCAGGAGGTCAGGAAGATGGGTCAGTCAGCGTGGTACTTGTGATACAAACATGAGGACCTGAGTTGGATCCCTAACACCCAAAGCCTAGGGTTGCAATGCAGACTTGTAATCGGCCCTAGATTACAGAGATGAGAGGATGCTTGGGGCTTGCTGACAAACAATCTAGCTCAATCAACAAGCTCTAGGTTCAATGAGATGCCCATCTCAAAAATAAGGTAGACAGCAATCAAGGAAGGTACTTCCTATCAACCTCTGCCTTCCACATGCATGCATGCATACATTCATGACCATGGAACACACTCACTCTGTGTATGTCCCCATCACACACACACACAACTGAAAGTTGTCAATCTGACCCATAGCCAGCACAAAGTCTTCTGCCATGTGAAGAAGTAGAGTTTAGAGGTAGCAACTACCCAAATGTCGGAGTAATAAGTAAACTGGCCCAATAAGAAGTAAACTACTGAGGTAAGCCTGTTGTGTCATTATGTCACAGTCCTCAAATACTGCCTTGGTTGCACGACTCAGACTACCTCCAGAGAAGTACCCAGGCCCAGAAGGAATATGTAACAGCCAGCTTGGTGAGGAAAAAGCACAAAGCCACGATTCCCAAAGACATTTCTATTTGCTGCCCTCTAGTGCTTCCTCACAGTGTGCAGTTTCTGAGGCTCTGCATATCTGGCACATTGCCTACCTTATACTGCTGTAAAGAGGCAGAAGGCTGCTCTCTGCTGCACCCGATCTCTGAGTCAGATGTGGGTTTCCTTTGCTCCAACTTATATAGTACCTGAGAACTTTCTTGTATCCTACAGAACAACTTTTAGGGAGACAAAGACATTTTTTTTTTTTTTTTGAAACATGTGAACCACACAGTAAACTAAAACATCTGCCTACAGGGACAATTTAAGGGGAAGAGAGTGCCTGAGTTTTCAAATCTTGAAATCTGCAGTTTCATTTTGACATAAAATAAACATTGTACAGTTTTACCAAAAACTACAAGCAGAATCAAACCAGTTTTCCCATTTCCATTAAGCTGGTGTGAACCTGAAGATTATAGTCACTTCTATACCAATGCCTTGCCACAGATGTGCTATACAACTGATTCAAGATGAGTAACTCATAAAATTGCCATTGCATGGGGTGCTTAAAAATGTACATGCTTCCTCCCGCTCTCACCAGCGCTTTCTTCAAACCGCCTACGCTCTAAGAACCCCAATGCTGAACTTTTTTTCTTTCAAAAAAAGAGTTTGGGCTGGTGGGACAACTCAGTGACTAAGGCTCCCTGTCACCAAGCCTGATGACCTAAGTCTGTTTCCGGGATCCACATGCAGATGGAGGGAACCAACTCCTGAAAACTGTCCTCTGACCTCCATAACTGCACCCTGTTATGCACACTTGTCCCCTAAATAAATGAATAAAATGTTTAAAATTATATTTTTTAAGAGGTCAGGGTTGATTTTTTTACACCCAAATGAAAGAACTTTTTGTGCTATATTTTAATCCCACATGTAAGCTTGCTGAACTCAGGGAAAGACACTGAAGCCATGAAGATACATGGAGCCCTATACCACAACCATTCCACACTCTCCCCAAATCTGGGATCTTTTTAAAAAGCAATTTCTAGAACAATTACAACTTCCCCATTCTGGTGGGTAGATGCAAAAGTCTACCTTTTTAAGGAGTGAGCAAATCTGCTGCCGCACACCTGGAGACTGACTATTGAGATTGTATGTGATGAAGAACTGAATCCACTGCATCTCTTCGGCAGAGACCACTTCTGTGCTCCGATTACTTTCACAGAGCAAGCCTAGTGTGTCTATCCGCACCTAAAGTACACCAAACAATACAATGTGAATACTTTAAATGTGTAAAATTTGTGTAAGCTACGTAAGTAAACTTCAGTTGCCCACATATACCTCAGAAAGGTTTCTTAATCCAAAACACCTTTTAGTTACTTCCTCTAAAACTGTCTCATCACACATATACACTGAGACTTATACAAATTCAAAAGCCTTACTTACGGAGCACTCAGCTCTGGTCCTTTCTTGTCTTCTCAGTGCTACCTTACTCCAGGGTGCCACAGCTCAGGTTCAGCTCACACTAGCCAGTCTCCTGGCTTCTTTCTGCTCCTACTCCAAACTTCCTGACTCCACTGACAACCAGTGAACAAACCCATTCAGTCTGTTACTGGGAACCAACAAAGTCATCAGTCCAGCCCTAGAGGTTTCCCAAACATGAACAGGCTTCCATTCTGGGTGCTGATTCATCACTCTATTTCCTAACCAACCATCACCTACTCTGATCAGGCTCTTCTAAGCCTTCCAGATAAAACCCCTTATCAGGACATACTGACATCGGATTGTCACTCAGAGTTGCGGGTTCTTTATGTAAACTGTCTGTGCTCCCCAACTAGATAGTGCATAGACTGAGTACAAGGATGACACTTTCTACTGTCTTCTTAATGGACTCCCTAACCCCGTGCTAGGTACAAGTTAGTGACTTCTAGCTAGACTACTAAAGGAATCAGATTATCAGGGACTATGTATGCAACACAAGTTTCCTTACTTGGCACTGTTGATGAATTAAGCCTTGCTTTACCCTTGCACTGCACACCAGGTTCTCCCAGGCATGAGTTGCAGACTGAAGATGTCCATGAGCTCGAGCTGTTCGCAGACATGCCATCAAAGCTCCCAGAGCCCCTCTGTGATTACAAGACCCTAAGAGGAGAAAAGACTATTCTTGTTCTAAAAGCACAATAGCAAAGAACATTCCTGTGCTATGGAATAACTGTGACATGCCAACTTTTATGTTTCAATTAACATTCAACTCTAAGCTAAATTCTAACATGAATTAAAGTGCTCACCTAAGTAAAAATGACTGAAAATAATTATTAATGCCAATAATTTCAAGTAAGCATAATTATCTTATTAATTTAAAGAAATCATAACTTACTCTTTAATACATTTACTTTGGCCTTAACACTTAAAAAAAATCACCATACATGAATTAGAAGAAAAAAATCAAGTAGAGAAAAGTTACAACTGCACAAGAATAGCAGAAATACTACAATAGTTCAAACAGTATTATTTTCTAGAAAATAAACACTGATCTTCAACATACATTTTTGAGTTGTTCTCACTTATAAAGAACATAAAAAAATGGACCACACTGATTTGCTGATTTCAGTAGAGCATCAGCCACTAACAGAGGCACAGGAAACTGTGGCTCACAGCACACCTTACACAAAATAAACATGAGCTGATGTCAGGACAGGTTAACAAAGCCAAAGCCTTGGGAGGTCTCTGAAAAATTCAAGAACAACTATTAAATAACAGATTGTTTTTGTGTATAGAAATCAAAATTTCCTCTCAGAACCAAGTTAGTTCAAATAGTTTCAATAATTATATACAAGGATTTTTTTTCTTTATCAAATAGAATACTTTAAGATTTCCATGGTCACGAGTATCATTTTATACCCATTTTAAATCTATCTATTTATTTAGAGAGTTTCATGCACTCCTGGCCTCTCTGGAACTCACTATGTATAGAAGGCTGGCCTTGAGCTGGAAGCAATCCTCTCGCTTCGGTCTCCCAAGTGTTGAAATTAGAGACATATACAACCACATATGGCTACACACTGATTATAAACCATGATCCCCTTAGCACTCCTGTCTCAGTAGGATGTTTCCCCCAATTCTAAATGACTAAGTAGTTCTTCTTTTAAGCTGTGCCTCCAACCTAAAGACAAAAAAAAAATCACCTGCTTTTACTACTGCCTAAAGCATTTTTAATTACTATCTCAATCACCTGGAGAAGAAAATGACATAAAATACGTACACCATTACTCTTGTTTGAGACCAAACTAATAAATTAAAACTTTGTAACTAGGGGCTGGAGTGGATGGCTCTGGAGTTAAGAGCACTGGCTGTTCTCCCAGAGGAGCCAGGTTCAATTCCCACCACACTCATGGCAGCTCACAACTGTCCATAACTCCAGCCCAAGGGATCCAATGCAGGTTCTGACGTCCAAAAGCATTAGGCACACGTGTTGCACATATAGACACAAGCAAACCACTCATACACATTAAAAATCAATCTTTTTAAAAAACAAAACAAAATCTTACAACTGGAATCACTCTGTAGCTTGGTAAACTACTCAGCCAAAACCTCCACTCAGCTACTGAAAGTAAAATGTTTCAATCTGAAGTGGCTGTCATTAATAGCCTTCTCTACTACTTATAGAAGGGGACGGGAGAGATACTTAAGCCAGAAGATGCAAACATCTGCCCACGGCCCTACACTTAAGTATCCTAGAAATTAATAAAACAAAAACTCTCTCACCAGCTTCCATATCAATAGCTGCCTGGAGAACCTTCACCATGTACTGCAGGCTTCCAGGGCTGTGATTCAGTAACCTCGGCAAGTAATAATCAGTCACGTAGGACTTCTGAGCCAAGTGTCCTCCACACAGTATAGAAAGAAGAGGAGAAACCCAGGTCTCATGCCACTCATCCAGCCAAGTATTGGTGACAGGCTGGGACTTCAATTGGCCCTTATGATTCTTAAACATGATTTCCAAAAGGTCAGTTGCATATGGTACCAATGACTGGTCTCCCATCACCTCTAGGATCTGAGATGGAATAGTTTTATCTATTGCCAAAATATGTTCAATTCCAACACTCTCAACCATACAGCCAAGGCAAGCGTACTTCCCTTTAATGTGCCATTCCAATCGCAGAAGACTCTTAGTCAGTTCCAAAAAGAAGGGGTCAGTGACTAAATCTGACCCTTCCATAGCGAGCTGGTGCATTTGCAGGAGATTTCTGAATATGATTTTAGTTTGGTGTCTCAGAGCATCCAATGGATGTTCCCAGTGTGTATAGACATATTCCAAAAGTCTCCTAGTTATACTTGAATCCCCATTCAGATGATCCTTTAGGTTTGGGGAACTTGATTTAAGAATTTGTATGGCTGAATTGGTCCAAGATACCAATGTTCTAGACAGGAACATTTCTAGTGTTGACTCCTTAATCCTGGAGAAAAATAAACCATGACCTATATTATTATAAACTGCCTAGTAGAAGAAATTGAACAGACATTACAACTTTTAAATACAAAGAATGAACAAAAATTTAATTTAACTTACAACAACAACAAAAATTACAAATAAGGTCAAACTGAAAGTCAAACTTTCACATAAATGTTTTTACCATATTAAAAATTAAAAATGAATACACGAAAACTTTTAGTAATAAATGAAATATTCACTGTCTTCACTGTGATAATGGCTTCATGGGTATTTTAAAGTTGAGAGAGGGGTGCATTCAAATTAGTGTAAAGATGCATGCACAGAGGCTAAAAGATGTCAGGTGCCTTCTATAGCTCTCTATCTTATGTCCTTGGGGCAGGGTCCCTTACTGAGCTACAAGCTAGCTATTTCGGCTAAGGCGGCTGGCCAGCAAGCTCCCAGGATTCATTGGTCTCCACTTACCAACGCTGGGGTCATAGACACATGTGCTGCTTTAAGTCTGACCTCAGATCCACATGCTTGCACAGCTCGTGCTCTAGCCCTGAACCAGCTTCCTAGCCTCTCACAGAGATGTTTAAATAATTTGATGGCTCAGCTGGGAAAGGCTGGAGAATCAGTTTTAGTCTTGGGGTGTCTAGTGTTTTAGCATGACGAGAACATTATTTTGAGACAAGGTCTCATTAGGTAATATAAGCTTCACTCAAACCCTTCTTGCTGACTGCCTGCCAGTGCACGATCGTGGCTATCTAGGAAGATGGAAGCATTCTGAGGTGGACTGCAGAACATTTCTGATTTTATAGTACGTGAATTATATCACCATCTTTTAAAAATTATTTTAGAGCTTTTTGCTTATCTTAACGGTAATGCTTACTGTTATTAATCTATATTCATGGTCTGGCTTTAAAAAACTTATTACACTTGTTTGTTTAGTACATATGTGTACATGTGCCAAGGTCAGAGGAAAACTTGCAGGAGTCAGTTCTCTCCTTCTGCCATGTAGGTTCAATGAATCAAACTCAGAGCATCAGGCTTGGTGTAATCACCTTTAACAGCTATGCCATCTCTCCAGACCCTGCTTTGAGCCTTTTTTTAAGTACTTGATCATTTCATTCATAATAGCCAAACACCAAAGAAACTCAGCTCTATGTAGACCTTCCTATAACATGCTTATAAATGAGCATTTACTGTCAAAACCTAACTTCACTCACCCAACAAATTAAGTCTTTATACTATCTATGTGTAGAGCACATTACATACCTAGAGTTCCTAAAATTCAGGATCCTGAAGCACTCACTACACATACAAGCATTTTTATAGGATTTTCTGCTTTTTGGTTTGATAGTGCTAGAACTGAAAATAGGGTCAATGGTTCTACCATCTCTACACCTGAATTTTTAAGTTTTTCAAAATGGAGATATAAGTCAGTAGTTAGGAGCACATATTGTTCTTTCAGATGTCAAAAGTTCAGTTCCCAATACCCAGGTCAGGCAGGTCACCTGTAACTCCAGTACCAAGGGATCCACTGCCCTCTTCTGGCCTCCATGGCACTTCATACACATGCAAAAACCCACCACACATCTGCACATAACTAAATAAAACATGAAAACATTTTTCAGTGCTAGCTTAAGTTGGGTGTGGTAGTATTTTGGGTGGAGAGACAGGAAGATTAATAGTTCAAAACGAGCCTTTGTCACAAAATAAGTTCAAGGTAACAGTAGACTGACTGAAAACAAACCAAACAAAAAAGCTCACATATATACTGAATGTTAGAAGTGTTCACTATGCATTAACCTGCACCAGTAATTTCTATAACTGTCACGCTCATCATCTTGTCTTTTCTCTCTCATGGCTATTTTATTCTCACATATCAATTTTAATTTAGGATTTATCCTAACCACATTTAATTGAATCTATTTTGTTGGCTCAGTTGTGTCCTTCAAATGTCTTCTAAGCAAAACAAAATATGAAATAACAAAACAAAACTCACTGTGAACTCAAAGTAAACAGAACATGCACAGTATCCAAGAGCAAAGCCTCCTCGCTTGGGCCCGTGCTCCCATCCTGCCAGTCCAACATAGCAAGTGTTCCCTGACACAGGAACAAGAGACCTGACGCTGGCACACCAGCACAACAAAGGCTCCTGCAGCAGTTCATGAACCATTCAGGGATAATGGTGTTGTCAACTGACTGGAGAAGCAAGCTGCTGATCTGGAAAACACATGAGGTAATAATATATAAATACCTCAAACACAAACCTACAAATCTCTTTCTTCTGAAATATTCTAAGAAAACTATTGGTGAAACAGCAACAATCATTAAAATAAGCACAACTAAATCTAAGCACATCTATCTTTTGGCTGACATGAAAGTACTGGGGAAATCTATGGGTCAATACTGCAAGTGGACAAGAGGATGCTTTTAGAACATTTCTGAGAAAAAACTTCAATTGTATACAAGGATAATTATTTTGCATGATCTTAGAATACACACATTCAGTTAGGGTTGGGTTTAAGGAAAAGTGAGTTTCTGGATAATACACTGGGAGCTGGGGAGGATGCTAGTGGCCAATACAAAGATAATGGTCTATATTACCAAATTAACTTTCCTTAGAGACCAAATTCACTAAAAATTGACCCTAACATGCCTCTTGTATTACAAAGTATATGATTAAGTATAGTGCAAAGTTCATTCTTAGTAAGACTATCAGCAAGTTATAACTGTGTATTGAAACATTAGTCACTGGACAGTTTGAATGTTACAAGTATCTCTTATCATACTGACACAAAGAACTGAAAAAACAGCCCTAGAAACAATTAGGAGAGTAGTCAAAAAAAATGTTGATAGTCATTATCTTTGCAAAACTGACTTAGTTATTGCCTTGCCCTTGTCACCGCTACTTCATTTGTATATTTACAACTATCATTACAGGAGAAAAGAGCAATGAGAAAAATTCCAACTATGCCAAATAAACTTTTTAAAATTCAGCTAATATGGCTTAAAAATTGAGGGGCTGGTGAAATGGCTTAGTGGGTACAGACATGTCAAGTCTAAAACAACCTAAGCTTGATTCCCAGAACCCATGTGGTAGCAGAGAACTAAATACCACAAGTTGTCCACTGACTTCCACACACACACTGTGACACATGTGTGCCCATACACACACTACAAGTAAATAACTGTCAAATAATACGAAATGACATTTTAAATTAAAAAATAAATTGATATCCATCTAATTCTTAGTGAAGGAAAGTTCTAAAAAGAAGATGCACTCACCAATTCAGGAAGCTTTTCAGATGGTCGGAACATGGTCTTAATGAAAAGGACAACAGCTAATCCAGATGTACTTTGAATAGTCTGCAGCAGGTCATCTATTGGGGGGAGCAGACATTATGCATTAAAGAATGGCGAGCCTGGAGTAGTGGAAAGAGCAAGTGCTTTGGGGTCAGACAGTCCTCAACAGTTCCAGCCTGACCATTTGCCAGGTGACTAGATCCCAGACAGGTTACTGAATGTCCCAGGAACTCAGCTTTTTTTTTTTCCAGAGAGAGAGAGAGAAATAACCCATACAGGACAAGCTATCATAACGTTTAAAAGAAAATGAAAAGAAAGAGTAAGCCGAGTACATATTCAGTAAATGAGCTTCCCTCCTCCCATGCAACATCTTGCTCTCATCCTTGATATCTACACCTCTGGCAACCCTAGCAACACCATCACTTGGTCCTCCCAACCACTCATGCCTCCGTATTCCAAAACACAAACAATTTAGCTTTGAAGGTCTATGTGAAAAATCTACACTAATGTTCATTAGAAACCTTTGGAGCACAGCACTGGACGTGAGCAGGCAACTGAGTTGCTACCTTCCGTTTATATATATATTAGCCTCCAGTATTGTGAATTGCTCACCTCAGACTGAGAAGTTTGACAGACACCTTAAGTTAACTATTAAATATCCACTCTGCCCTCCATCTCTGGGAACAAAACTGACTTTTGGCAGCCATCTGCTTAGCCAAAAGCAAGACTCTTGTTTCCACAATCCTCCTTGCAACTAAAGGCACCCACGGGGGAGGATTCAGGCCAATGAGCTATCAGCACAAGTCCCTTGGATCTATTAGTTTTTTCTGATTAAGATGCAATTGGCCCTTCTTCTTGCCTTGCACAAACACATGATGTCGGCAGCTACAGCATAAGATGCCAAACAGGAGGTAACAAACATATAGACAGACACCAACATGATAAAAATCCACAGCAATGCAGAAGCTGGTCCTACACTGACAGCAGTGGTTCTGGGTCATCTGCCTCTGAACTCCACGATACAGGAAGAGAGGCATGGCTCAGTTTTCTGTTACTCACAGCTAAATACTTTACTAATACAAAAAGCTTTAAACTCCGGAAGAACAGCAGTGGTGAAGTGCCATCAACTTCTCAGAAAATAAGCTGTCTGGTTAAAACTGTGTCTGGGACTGGACAGATGGCGCAGCAGTCCTGAGTACTTGCTATTCTTAGAGCACCCAGGTTCATCTCCCAGCATCCCCAAATGGATGCTCAGAACCATCTGTAAACCTTGTTCCATGGGATCTGCTGCCCTATTCTGGCCTTCACAGGCACTTAAATTCATACGGTGTATAAACTCAGATAACCACACATATATACAAATAAAAATAAAATAAGTTTTAAAACATTTTTAAATTCTATCTTCTCTGTATTTTCCAGATTATCAAATTCCCCCTTTAAAAGGTTCCTGTGAAAAGTTGTTTCTAAATTCTGTCTTGATAAAGGTAACTAACAGAGGTCTGGAGAGATGGCTCAGAGCTTAGGTCCCAGCACCTACACTAGATGGCTTACACCATTGATAACTCTAGCTCCGGGAGATCAAATGCCACCTCCTGGCCTCCTCAGTAACCCGCACGCACACATACTCAGAGACACACACATAAATTAAAAATGCTTATTTTTTTAAAGAAACTGATTTATTATCCTTTAAATTCTAAAAAGTCCAATGTATAAAGAAAAACAGAAATATTAACTAGACAGTAACAAAAGCCATTACTTTTCCTAGTTACCTGTGTAAAAACAATCATCCCAGCAAAGCTGAGTAAACCACTTCTTACAAAGAAGAGTTCTAAACAGGTCCCCATAATGTTTTACTCTCTCTCTCTCTCTCTCTCTCTCTCTCTCTCTGTGTGTGTGTGTGTGTGTGTGTGTGTGTGTGTGTGTGTGTGTGTGTGTGTGTACTAGGGTTAAGGTTAGGGTGCAACAGTGTGGAGGTCAGAGGACAATTTGTAGACTCCCATTCTCTCCCATTAGGTGAGTTCTAAGCATCAAGCATCAAACTCAGGTCATCTAGCTTGGTGACAAAAACTTTACCCACTCAGACATCTTGTCCAGCCATGTTTCTTATTTTTTTAATTTTTTAAAATCTTATGTGTATGGATATTTTATTTGCATGTGTGTCTGTGCATCTTGTGTATACAGTGACCAAGAAAGCAGAAGAGAACATAGGATCCCCTGGGGTTGGAGTTATAGACAGTTGTGAGCTATCTGGGTATTGGCAACTAAACCCAGGTCCTCAGGAAGAGCAGCCAGTGAGTGCTCTTAAACACTGAGCCATTTCTACAGCCTCTTGTTGTTTTGGTGTTTGTTTTTGTTCACTTGTTTTTTATTATAGTTAAATTCATATAAACATTACTACATAAAATAGCAAATGAAGAGAAAGGATAATTTAACCTTTTCTTGAATAGTTAAATGTTATATAACCCTTTTATATCCAGTTAAATAAGTTATAGATGGTGACCATCCTTGAACTCATCATCAGAGAAAGAGACCTCAGCTTCCAGGCCCAGAAGGCCTATCCATATATCTCATACAAACCATAATTCCCTTCAGACTCTATAAGTAAATACTATTCTGACTTTCACAGTAATGATTTCCCTATATTCCATATCTTTAATAAATGAACATGTACTTCTTGACAGGGCAGCTGCCATATCATTTTAAATGTCTTTTAGATACCTTACACTATAGGTGTCCCTTTTCTGTCTCTAATTCTCTAAGGAAGAACTCTGGCCCATATGTCTTGCAAAGTTTTCTTCAACCAGGACACTGTGCTTCTCTGTCTAATCCAATGCATCCTTTGACCCCTGCACAGGCAGCTAACCTAAAGATAGCATCACTCTCCAGTTCAATCCCTTTGGGAAGAGAACAGGTAGCAGCTATAAGAATCTAAGGCACATTCTGTCCGGTTTTCTGTTTCTGTGACTGCTGATGCTTATGGCCACCTGCATTAATCACTGGGTGTTACAAAAGGTGACAGTCTATTGTTACTTCATTTCAATTTATTAATTAAAATACTCTCATTAAGAGAAATTTCTTTTCAGTTAGCTTGCTAGTGGTAGAATTCTCATGGCCATAAGAGATATACAGGAATTAGGCAACCAGGCTCATAATTAACTACTGTCATTATTTGAATATATTACTACTAAGAATTCAACTCATCTTTCTAAATCTTCCTTAAATTTGGTAAATACTTTTTTTTTAAGTATATTTTGGTTTTTCTTTTTTTTTTTTTAAGATTTATTTGTTTATTATGTATACTGCACACCAGAAGAGGGCACTAGATCTCACTATAGATGGTTGTGAGCCACCATGTGGTTGCTGGGAATTGAACTCAGGACCTCTGGAAGAGCAAACAGTACTCTTAACCTCTGAGCCATCACTCCAGGCCTGTTAACTATTTCTAAACAATTTTCATTTATAAATTAAAGTCTGTGGCTTTCCAACAATGAGATTACTGGTTTTTCTCTTTCGTACACAATAAAGATGCTGACACATACATACACAAACTGGGAAAAGTTCTTCAACCTCCCTTGCTGAACACATACATTTGAAAAGCAAAAAACAAACTAAAAAAGCATTAGAATCACATAATGTACGTCCTTTCTGCATTAACTGACAGAGACGTTCTATACCTAACTTACATGTACTAGGGACTAGCATGCAGTTATAACCATCATTTTGAACACTGACACACTTACCATCATTTAAAAACTTGGTGAAAATGCTCAGCAAGCCACACATACTTTGCCAGATGGGAGAGTTGTAATCATTCCAGAGTTCGCCTTGGGGCCCTTGTACTTTCTGCACTACTGTCATGGCCACTCTAACACCTACTAGCAAGTCATTCATTAACTCTGTTTGAACAATATGATTTCCAGCAAATTTTCTACAAAGAAAAGAGATTTCAGAAGAAATTCAAATGTGAACGTCACCACCTCCACCCCTCTAAAACCAGCACACTCCTGCACCCGAGGGCCTTTGGGATCATAACAGACATGTGTCTATCTCCCATATGCATAAGCATTCCAGTTACACAGACAACTGTAAGATCCTAATACTCTTAGCTCAGTAGGGCCCTCTTCCTCAGCCAGGCGAACCTTACTCCCTATTTCAGGGCAAAGATAAGAAATTTATAAAAGAAGAAATGAAGATCCAATGAGACAATTTAGAGATGTGAACAGTCTACACATACTTTTTCCATCTGCCTTCAACATATGCTCCTAGACTTTGTCCTCAGACATCATGACGAGGTAGTTGTCCTCTGCCTAACCTATTTACCCACCTATTTCTCTTCTCCCTCACAGATCTTGCCCCCTTCTCTCTAGTGTGAAGGATCAACTCAAAGCTTCACTAAACAGTAACCTGGTAACTTAGATCCTCTGACAGTGAGAAACAGTCTCAGCCTGCCCTACTCTATGTCAAAGCTCCCCAAGATTCAGACCTTAGTTCTCAGTTCTCTATCAAATTCTCTCCCTTGACGCTGATCTTATGTAGCTCTTAAGCTTTCAATTGTATTCTATATGCTAACTATTATCAAACTTTTTGCTCTAACCCAGATCTTTCCTATTACAAATTTGCATTTCTAACGTCTTATTCACCATCTTCATTAAGGTATCTCATAGGCATCTCAAAATATATGAATTTATACTTGACTCCAAACCTGCACTACCTCCTGAGATCCCTACCTCTAAAAATGCTGTAATCACGTTTGCCTCCTGTCTTCTCTACCCCATCTTCAAAATATATCTGGACTTATGCCATCTCCATGGCTACTATTTGACCTGGATCATTCTCATGTCTCCTTTGGATTACAATAGCTTTCATCTGGTCTCCCAGTCTTTAACTTTGTCTTTCTCTGTCTATTTTCAATAGGAGAAAACACATCCTATTAAAACGCAAGCCAGGGAAAAGTTTGTAACTTCCTCAAAACAAACAAAATTAGTAAAAGGCCCAGCTAGTCCACTCTTAGGTATATATTTCTAAGAACTGAAAGTAGAGCCAAGTATGGGAAGCATATGAGAGGCTGAAACAGGAGAATTGCCATAAGTCTGAGAGCAGTATAAGTTACAGTTTCAAGCTAGCTGAAGCTAGAGAGTAAAATTCTACTTTAAAAAAACAAAAAAATTGAGGGATTGGGGAGAAAAGAAAACTGAAACTGAAAAGCCTCTTCTGCACACCAATGTTTATAGTAGCATTATACAGCAGCCAAAAGGGAGGAAAAGCCAAAAAGCTAGCAGATAAATAGACAAAATGTATCATATATACACTGTGGAGTATTTGGCTATAAAAAGGAATAAATTCTGAAACATATTACTACATAGATAGGTCTTGAAAACATCCCAAGTGAAATACGCCTGGCCCAAAAGGATAAGTAGGCTGGACATTGTGGTATATACTGTAATATCAGCACTCAGGAGGCTAGAGCAGAAAACTCATGAACTCACTGCCCATCTGAACTATACAGTGAGGCTGTATAGTCATCACCCAAATATATATACATAATGAATATACATATATGTGAAAACATATAATGAATATGTATATGTTATATGATTTCATTTATACAAGTATCAAAGACAGGCAAAATCAAAGAGACAGAAAGTTGGGTGGAAGTTAGAAGGGTTAGTGTCTTAAGATAGTGAATTTTGGGGAACATACGCTGAATCTGTACCTATAAAAAAGCAAGTCAAAATGTCTAGGAACCAACTGACTATTGAGTCTACTAAGGAAAATGAGAACTAACTGGAAATCTAAATACAATATGGACAGTGGCTGACGCCAACGAAGTACATAGTATGAAACAACAGGAACAAATGAAATTGGAGGATTGGACCCAAGTCCATAGGATGAGCCAAGAAGTCTGAAAAGACAAAGAAGCTTCTCTTGAAGCAGAAGACCTCAGGTTAAAGTGGCCATACAGCTACTACTTCTACTCCATCCCAGAATGTCCCTAAGCCAGAAGCCGTGATTTAAACACAAAAGGCATAAACAAGTGCATAAAGAACGAGGTAATAATATGGCAGTCCTTTAGACGCTGCAAAGCATATGAACGGCAGTGTCTTTATAGAAAAACCAAAGGTCAAACTTCATCAGAGAATAAAGCTAAGAGTAACCTGAGTTATAACTCCAAAAGGCTCAGGAACCACGGACACTTTAATTCTGGCTTGATATGGAGGTAAACAGGGCTGAAGACAGGCAAAATGACTACACGTTTTAGAAAGAATACGCACTCTAAACCAAACTGCTCAGCCAGCAGACAACTGGTTCGCCTACAGAAAAGGTAAAGCAATGCATTTACCCAGTGGTGACCAGGAGGACTGAGCTCCAGCCTGTGTCTGTCAGAAAAACAGTGCACACAAACAAAGCAGCCATGCCATACTGCACACTAGGTAAACGTGTGCGCAGTGACTGTCAGAATCCAAGGCCTCGACTCTGTGCCGGCACTCTGCAACTAGAATACTAACGTAAGGTCCGGATGATGCTGTGGCCACAAGCCCACCCCCAAGTAGTAAGACATGACTTAAAGGGTTCCCTAGGAAAGAGCCCCGTTCGACTAGAGAGGAAAACTTGCAGTCAAACCCACACGGGTACACAGACTCACATCAACTTTTAATGACCTGTCCCTGAAAAGGAGTACCCAGCCAAGGATCATTAGACTTCTGAGAAAAATTTCTTGCAAGAAACACAGTGAGTAAACACAGCAAATGGGGAAAAATAAAAACTCTGAAAAACTAAAGACTATGTAAAGCTCAGGAAACTTAAAAAAAAAAAAAAAAAAAACAGATACCTATTATACTTTTTTAATGTCTTCAGAGAGATAACAAGAAATTCACCCATTAATATTGAACACTCAAAGGTAGGAGAAATGACTCTCTTCCTCATTTATTCTCATGATAATGTATTTGATCTTTAAAAACTAACTATCATCTAAGCATGGCAGTACATACCTGTAACCCCAGCACCTGAGAGGCTGTGACAGGAAGATTACAAGTTTGAGCTAGCCTGCTTTATACAGTGAGACCTTGTCTCCAAAAAATCAATTAAAAAAAATACATATGAATCCAAATGTTGGAAGCAGCACACTCTGAGACTTCTACAGAAGCTCCCTTTGTACTGAAAAAAATCCCAACTGTACACACAGAGCTATGCACATGCACACAAACACACAGCACTTGCCTGTTTTCTTCCAGGATTTCAATTAAACTCCTCTGCAGAAAACGAAGCACTGAAACAAAGAGAATACAATGGCAACCAGCACTCCAAACTGAGTTTTAGCTTCAGAAGCAGGAACATTTCAAGACATCTACCATAAATGATGACATGGAGAAGCAGAAACTTCAGGAGCACAGTCTAATTTAGTTATCTGAAGCACTTCACTATTGCCAAGAAAATCCTTTTTCAATTAATTTTATTTTATGTGCATTGGTGTTTTGCCTGTATGTATGTCTCTGTGAGGGTGTTAGATCCCCTGGAACTAAAGTTAGAGACAATGTGAGCTGTCATGTGGATGCCGGGAATTGAACCCAGGTCCTCCAGAAGAAGAGCCAGTGCTCTTAACCACTGAGGCCCTATTGCCAAGAAATTTAAAGAAGTCAGTTCTAAAATGACTCAGAGAAACTGTCACCCCTCAAAGCAAATGAAAATATCAAGACTTACCATCTTTAAGCAGATTAACAACACTTGCTCTACCTGCAGGTGGGAAAACAACAATGCTAAGGAGTTTTTGCCAAAATGGACATTGAAGAACAGTTATGTAATGACAGATGTTACCCAGGGAAGGACACCAAAAAAGTGCTGGCTTACCCAGGTTAAAGTTCTCCATGCAGGAAGCTATATTGTTGATTACTTTTCTATAAGAATGTAAGTCAGCAGTATCTAGTTCTTCTTGAAGATGAGAAGTAAAACTGTGTGTAGCTTCAGTTAGAAAAAATTCGGGCAGGCCATCCAGTGAGCTACAAAAAAAGAACCAAATGACGAAAACTGTACAGCACTGGGTTAAGTGGGGAGGGAGATGTTAACATTAAATACTGAACCACATCTTCAAAATCCAGCCACAAAATTACAACTTCACACAAAATTTCCATCAGCAAAATTCGCTGGTCCACCCTTTCCCGTCTCTCTCCCGGGTTCCATTTTGTGTTTCTGACCCCCAGGCTAGTCTCAGTGGAGTAGCCAGGTACTGAGTAGCAATAGTACTAAGCACAGTGTGAGGCGGGAAAGCACGTGGTGCCGCCTTCTCTATTTTCCCCTTAGAAAGCAAAATGCTCAAAAATCTACGCTTTTTTACTCAGTTTAACCCCAATTCCTAGAAATGTACTTAAATCACATTTAAGTACTCAACAAAATTTCCTGGATATGAAAGCTAATGTCAATTTTATTCCAATTGATTCAAAACAAATAAAACATTTCATCTTTGAAAGGTTCACTGCTTTTCTAGAAGAAATAAATCTAAAAACTAGAATACCCTGAAAAAGGAAATTCAGTAGAAAATAACTTATTCTGTAATTGAGTCATATTACCAAAATATTAAGTAAATGAGTGGCATTGGTTCAAGAAATATACATAAGTCTAAAAGAATCAAACCCATGTTTATATAAAAATACCTAAGACAAGGCATATCCCAAATAGGAAAGGAAATGTATGAGCCAACAGGCTAGGGAGACCCTGCATGCAACGGAAAACTAAACTGATCTCTAACTTAACCAATACTTAAAACCTGATTCTAGATGGATTTAAAAACAGAAAGAAAGAATTAAGACAAACAAATAAACAATCTTGAAGTAGAGAAAGCATAAATAAATAACATGAGCCAGGCGGTGATGGCACACACCTTTAGCCCCAGCACTGGAGGCAGAGGCAAGTGGATCTCTAAGTTCAAGGTCAGCCTCATCTCCAGAGCTAGTTCTAGGACAGCCACGGCTACATAGAGAAACCCTGTCTCGAAAAACAACAACAACAAAACAACGAATAAACAAAATAAAATAAACAAAACATAAAATTTAGAAATCTATATAATAAAAAGTATTAGTAGGGTCATGGTCTTTATCTTAATAAAGACAATCCATCATGCATTAAGTGAAAAATAAAAATATATCTGGCACAATGAACAGATATATAATATAAAAGGTAATCAAACTCCACATATAAAGTGTTCAGCCATGAGCTGGAGATGTGGGTCAATGGGAGAGTATCTGCCTTAGATGAAAGATCCCTGTGAGGTCCAAATCCAGCACCAAGAAAAGTTCACCACTAACAATCTGGAAAAACGTAAATGATGATAAAATAGCATTAATCACATTCGGAGTTTACAAATGTAAAGACTGGTGTCATCCAGTGCTAGGGAAACACAAAGAAATCAGCAGTGTCATTCACAGCTATGGAAGTTTAAGTAAGTAGCTTAGGGGAAGTACAGTAACGACATCTACAGAATCGGCCTTTTGGTCTAGAAATCTTCTTCTAGGAATACTGACAGATGATAACACACATTTTATGTATGATAAAGAACATCACATTGACAGCATAATAAAATCTAAAACACCAGATATTTATCAGTGGCAAGGAGATTAAATAAACCAAATAATACTTATCATGATCACATTTTTACATATTCATATGTACATATTCATGGAGTATGTACAGACATAAATGCAGGCAAAACACACACACACAAAATAAATATAAATGAATACTTTTTTAAGATTTACTTATTATTTATATAGTATTCTGCCTGCATGTATGCCTACATGGCAGAAGATGACACCAGATCTTATTATCAATGGTTATAAGTTGCCATGTGGTTGCTGGGAATTGAATCAGGATCTTTGGAAGAACAATCTGTGCTCTTAACCTCTGAGCCATCTCTCCAGCTCCCAAATGAAAGTTTTTATTTTTCAAGGAGACTATCCTGATACAGAAATTTCTCTAAGATACTCTATTTATTTGTTTGTTTACTGAGGGAGCACATGGGTACCATAGCACACTTATACACATAAGAAAACTTGTAGGAGTTGGTTCTGTTTCTACTATGTAGGTTGCAGAGATCAAACTCAGGCCATCAGGCTGAACAGGAAGTACCAAGATTCACAGAGCCATCTCACCAGCCCTCCCAAGATATTTAGTAAATAAACTAACTGCAGAGTATTGTGTAGAGTATTATACCATTATAAAAATATTAAAACTAAAACATAGTACACATACGTTAAACCCAGAGAAAAGGTTTTAAAAACCAAAAACCAAAATTAAAGTGGCAACCCTTTCCTAAAAAAAAAAAAAAAAAAAATTAAACAAGGTAGAAATGGTGGAATTCGAAACTCATTTACTTTTGTGCACTTCTGCATTACTTAAACATTTTATATCACGCACATATTGCTGTACTATCTGTGTTAGAATAGATGGGACCAGAGAAAAGGAACAGGATGATAGATTTAAACATCCATGTAAAAGAATGACCCAGAAACAGGGAACCGGGCTGACTATATAAATGCACAGCTTGTTTTTTAAATCCTATAACCTAAGGCTTTCGCTTCCTAAAGCCTTTAGACAGATACACAGATAGACAGTACAAATGAAACTTATAGTAATACACTTTGGCTTAATTTTACCAAAACAGTGAATGAACTTTACATGCTTTTTCTTTTCTTTTCTTTTCTTTTCTCCTTTTCTTTTCTTTTCTTTTCTTTTAAGTGCTGAGGAGGGAACCAAAGCCTTCTACCTACTACTAGGTCAGCACATTACAACTGCAGTGTATCCCCAGTCTCTGGCTATTTTTTGTAGCATTCAACTTATCTCCCTTCTTTTCCTTACCTTGCCAAAACTTTCTTCAAGGGATTCTTTGGAGTCAAGGAAAAATAAATGCCTGCTAAAATATCCAAACAACTTTCAATAGTGGAATCACACACAACATCTTTATCCACCTTCTCCAGAAGAGGCACAATCTATAATAAAAATAAATATTAATGTCAAATACATCAAAACACACATGAGTACAAATATTCTTTTAAATCATTTTTCTTTTCTTTGAAGGAAAGAGGAAGAATGACCTTGAACTTTTGATCCTCCTGCTTCTAACTCCCAACAGTTAAGACTACAGGCATGTCTGACTTATGTGGTGCTAAGGATCAAACCCAGGGTCTTAAACATGTAAGCACTCTTCCAACTGAGGTACATTCCAGCCTGATTTCAGTATTGATAAGCCTTTAACATATGCCCTCTCTCTTTACTTATAGTCCAGGGAGGGTAGGTGCTTGGATACTGTTTCTACTGCTGCTCAGAACAAAGGGACATTATACAATAAACAGAAAAACGAAAACTATCATTTGGTGATAAATTAGCAACTGAAGCCAAATACTGTCAGGTAATTTGTAAAATCTATAATAGCATGATAATATTCAAAACATACACATTAACAAAAGCTCAGCTTTACCTGTTTAACAGAATGGATTTGTGACACTCCATCCGTGAGCTGTACACAATGTAACAGCAAAGAGGCAAGATTTTTCCCTTCCACATCAGCAAAAGCTAAGGAATACAAAGATTTCAATGATGTACTCACATATGGATTAACAGCACCTTTCTTATCCATTCTACAAAAATGTTAAGGATAGAAACCAGGACCAGTGAGATGGGTTAGGAGGTAAGGCGCTTGCCCTAGCCTGACCCTGAGTCTGACCGCCCCCAACCCATGCAGTGGAGGGAGGAGAGTGCCAACTCTCAAAAGATGTCCTCTGACATCTACCTCTGTCAGGTATGCAGATGGCCACATATACACATACTGTCTTAGTTTGATCTCTATCGCTGTTAAACACCATGACCAAAAGCAAACTGGGGAGGAAAGGGTTTATTTATCTTACAATTCCCAGATCACAGTCCATCACAAATAGAAGTCAGAGCAAAAACTCAAGACAGGGACCTGGAGGCAGGAACCAAAGCAGAGACCATGGAAGCAACACCACTTCCTGGTTGGACTACTCTGCTTGCTTTTATTATATAAAGCTGGACCACCTGTTCAAAGGTGGTACTGCCTACACTTGAGCTGGACCCTCTCACAACAATCATTAACCAAGAAAATTCCCCCCCCCACAGACTTGCCCACAGACCAATCTGATGAAAGTATTTTCTCATGCGCATGTCCACATACACCCAAATAAATAATAAAGCAAAAATAGATATAAACACTCTGATGTAGAGAGCTGCCCTTCCAGAGGATCCAGGTTCAGCTCCCAGCACCCACATGGCAGCTCACTACCCTCCACAACTACAGCTCCTGGGGATTTGATGCCCTCTCATGACCTGTGGCCTTCAGGCACACACATACATGATGTACATGCATATATAAATTTAAAAACAATTATCTATTTAAAGTAAAAATAGGTATAAGCCAAAATAGCAAGTAGAACTCAACCTAAAGACAAATAATATTCAACAAAACTATTTTTTTATCCACAATGGAATGCAAAAGATATATAGAAAAGTTAAACAGAAAAAATTTCAATGTTACACTCTATAGGGTCCAGACCTTAAACAATCGAAATTTAAAAGTCACATACATCTTAAAGTTTCCAGGTCCTGATGGCAAACTGTCACTGCAGCAACCTGCATTTCTCTTTTCTTCTTCACACCCATTTTAAACAGGATGAACAGCAGTCTCTGTAAGAAAGAAGAGCTTAAGGCACTGGTCAGTGGAGGGTTTCCCCGACAACACATGGCTTTTCTTGAGGATGTTGTCCTGTGCACTACAGGATGCTGAGAGGCTCCCCAGCCCGCACCCCCTTAGATGCCGGGAGCGTCTTACTACAAACAAGACAACAAGCAGGTGCCTCCTAGCAGGACCACTGTCAGAAGGCACAACCGCCCCAGGCAGAGAATCGCTGAGCTGAGAATATCTGGTTCGCAAAAAATAAAAGTAAAATAAATAAAGGGCTTTTAATTTGCTTGTTTATGGTTTCTGCTGCTGTTGTTTGAAATGGGTCTTATTATATAGTCCTTAAAATAGCTGTAGATTTGAAGAAGAGATTTCTTTTGTCCCACTGAAGAATTAGAGAGTCAATGAAAGCTCCAAGGAGACGGATTCCAGCTCAAAGGAAGTCAAAGGAAGACGTCTATGGTCCAATGAGGAACCGGCTACCTTCACATAGACTCTCCCAGACACACACTGACTCAATGTTAATTCACCTAAACTCCTGACACTACTTCTCTGAAGAATCCATTCTTGTCAGTCATCAAAACAATTTTTTTAAAACACTAACAAAGTTAAACAATACATTTGCTCTTAATCTTCCCAAGGGTTTTCAATTGCACTAAACACAATTTATCAGTCACTAATATCCAAATTTGGGTTTTGGCATTCAAAGCCTGACAACAATCTGACCCCGGCTTCCTCTACCATTCATTTCAAAACAATCTATTCTGCCATCTTAAGACCTCTCATGGTACCTGATATTCTTACTATCACCTATGAGACTTTACAATCTGACAATGTTCTGTCCCACACACATGACAAAGCTTAATACTTATTATCCAAGTTCTTAACTGAATACCACCCAAGAGCTTTCTGTAACATTACCTAAAATGTCATCACTCTGATATGATACACATGCACTCCCATTATTTTCTTTTTCACAGCATGTATTACTATCTAAAATTACATTAACTTGCACTTGTCTGCTTTCCCTAGTAGTAAACTCTATGAAGGTGGAAATTTTAATGACTGTTCAGTGTTTTAATTCTCAACACCTTAAGCGTTCAGGCATGTAGTAGATGTTTATAAACATCTGGTGAACAACGTCAAGGAATTAACATTTCCTAATGATATTCTGGGAGGGAAATACAGATAGACAGATAGATAGACAGACAGACAGACAGACAGAAAGACCCATCTTGAATAGCAGAATGATGGACTACCTGCTACCTAAAAGTACACACTACAGCTAAGTGACAGACTGGTCCTGAAGCTGAAGACTTTATAGTTCACTTGGGCAGCAAGTCAATACAGTAATGGCAAGTGAGGAGTCAACCAAAAAAGTTAAGAATGAACACAGCTAGACAGACAACGAGGGAAGAATTTAAAGTTACGGGTTAAATTTAGGGATATAATTTCCTAAACGAGCAGCCAGCGTACAAAGTGAGAAGGTACTGAGGAAGAAAACTGAGGAGATAATTCTGATTTTAAATGGCAAGTTTGCAGCAGTATTTGATTCACGAGTCCTAAAAGAAAGAGACTCAGTGATTCTGCGTGTTTTATGGATACGCATAAACGTGTGTCCTGGTGAGCGGGGCCTCTCCAGTGCCGAAAATCCCCCTGTCCAGCCTGATGGGCGTCTGCTCGTAGGTACCACTTGCTGCTTCCCTCCCATCTACATCTTTCCGACCCACGTGGGGTCCGAAGAATGACAGAATGACAGCTGAAAAAGTGGTTAAAGGGCTGTCTCCATTGAGACCGAAGGGCCAAAAGCCACACGCCGGCACTGCTGATGGGCCACGACTGGTACCCTCGGGGGATCCTGCAAGCTGGCCCGGCCGCGCTGTGGACACTGCGTCCCACGCGCCCGCGCGCCAGGCAGGCAGCACGCCCGCGAGCCAAACCTCGTGCCCGGGGACGTCTGCAAAGATTCGCCACCTCTGGACGAGTCCCGGAAGCCTGTCTGGTCCCGGCGGCTTGTAACGTGGGGCGAGATCCACGATCGGTCCGGTGTAAGTAGGCAGGCCAGGATCCGGCAAGGAAATATCGCGAGAGAAGCCGAGTGCTTTTCCTCCAATCAGAAATGCTGGAGGGTCGTGATGTCATCAGAGAGGGCGTTTGCTAGTGGATTTGGCTAGACCGCTACTTCACAGTTTTTGAGAAGCGCTTCGGTGGTGGTGGTGGCTCCCGGGGACGGCGCACGCCTCACTTTCTTCTGGATGGCAGGGCTTCAGGCTCCACACCCTGACGTGTCAGGTCGACAATTCTGTCTCACCCCAGACTTTCCAGATACACTGTGCCCAGCTCAAACAGACAAAAACGACGCGCGGGTACGGTTGGGCCAGGGAGTGAACTGAAGCCACGAGCAACAACTTAAACCCCGCTGTCTGAGCCTTGAAAGCTGCGCTTTTAAAGCTTGTATCTTCTACACAATTCATAAACTGTAATGCAGTCCCGTCCTTTAAAAAGGAATAAGAACTAGAGACCTAGCACCTCAATAGGAGTTGGGACGGGATTAGAGAACAGACAAGATGCTAAAAAGGGCCAGGATGCTAGCCTGGGCTCTGAAATTCATAGTTGGGGAAAATAATGAAAATTGGGTTAATAAGTGGGTGGCTTTAAGCCTTTAATTCTTTTCTCAATTTTATATTGCTGTGCCTTGTATTTCTTTGTGTTTTTGCCACGTGTATCACTGAACAATAGCTTGTTTGATTTTGTGTATATTAGCCACCGATTCGCATCTTTTAGCATTGCTTTTCGGGTCACCTACCTAAAAATGGGTGATAATAATTCTTTGATTAACTGTTAATGTAATGTGCTGTTCTCTACGTGTTGCATTTGTAATTCGTGCTAGTGTATGTGGACATTTTCTCTGGAGGAGTTCGGGTTGGGGGTTGGTGTGTAGAAACAGACTGGACTTGGCCAGGGATTAGGGAAACAGGACAAGGAGAAAAAGCATGTAGGTTATAGGAGGATGAGTAGCGGGGAAGCCAGCGAACTGGAGCTGCTTGGGAGTTTAGGGGAAAGGAGAAAGTAAAAAACAAAAACAAAAAAAAAAAAAAAAAAAAAAACCCTAGTGTGTTAGCCTGGGCTCTGAGATGCCTATCAAGTACATGTGAATAGGGGCCTGGGGGGTTTGGAGGCTAGCATTGGCTTTAGTATACACCATTGGTACATGTCAATAGAGAGCTAGATGCCACATCTGCCAGAGGCATGGGAAATGGGGAAAAGGCTCTTCCTGGCAGTAACTATTTCACAAACTCCTGAGGAATGCTGAAAATGTCAGCAATTCTATAGTCCTGCCTGAGCGGAGCCAAGACTTTAATTTTGGACCAAGTTAGTGGGCCCATGGGGGTGTCCGAGGTTTTCCTAACTGTAGCAAACTATTGATACAGTCTAGGGGTTTGGGTCAGGTTAATTTTCTCCGCCAGTTTAAAGAATTAAAAAGCAGGAAAAATCTGGATCACAACAGGTAGCAGCAGACAGAAGGAACAGTTGAAGAAAATCTCTACTCCCTGATCAAAAAAAAAAAAAGTATGGGAGATCCTGCTGGCCACGGATCATGAGATTTGCTGAGACAGTCAAGCCCCTCTATACCAACACATGGAGGGCCCAGCCTTTGGAATGGACTGAGACTGAGCACAGGGCCTTCAAAGCCTTGAAAAAGGCCCTGGTGTCTGCCCCATTCTTGGCTCTCCCAGACGTTACTAAGCCATTCCACTTGTGTGTTGGAGGCCGGAGGCATTGTCTAAATGGTCCTCATACAAGCCCTGGGAGGCTGGAAAAGAATGTTGGCATATCTGCCCAAGAAACTTGACCTGGATGGAACTGGATGGTCAGCATTTATGAGGGCTAGTATTGTGACCACCTTGCTGGTAAAAGAAGCTGACAAATTAACTTTAGCACAAAAACTGTTTTGACAGCCCCACACTCTGTTGAGACCCTTTTGAGGGGAACACCAGAGAGATGGGTGTCTTAACACCTGGATGACCCAATACGAAGCCCTGCTTCTGGATCAACCCAGAATTTGACACCAGACCTGGACCCTTGCAGATGACGACTCCTCATGTTCCCTACATGACTTTCTTGAGGTGACTGACCTGATCCAGTCTGTCAGGCCTGAACTGATTGGCATGATATTGGCAACATCAGATGAGGTGTTGTTCACAGATTGGAGCAGTTTCATCCAAGATGGGATCAGGTATTCAAGGGCAGCAGGGTGATCCAAGATAGGACTGATTATCCGGGCACAATCTTTAAGCAGGGGAACCTCATCTTGATGAGCTGAACTTTAGCTTTGACTCACGCACTCTACCAGGAAAGGTAAGCAATCACCATACACACTGACAGCAGATATGCTTTCACTATGGCCCATATCCATGGAGCTGTATATAGGGAAAGAGGACTAAAAATCACAGAGAAGAAATCTTAGCTCTACTGGAAAAGATGTGGTTACCCAGGAGGGTGGCCACTGTCCATGGGAAAGGACAACAAAAACAGGATTCTCCAGAAGCCAGAAGCAACAGAGTAGCTGACTTGGCCACCCCAAGAAGTGGCCCTAAAGGATAGGGACATTCCAAGTCTTGATAGCTCTGCCTGAGTCCCGCTTACTGGACCACTGGAATAGGCTAAACAAGAACTGGCCAAAGAGCATAACCAAGGATGGCAGATGATGCAGAACAGAGTCTGTACACCAAGCCACCCACTTAGGGATTGCAAAAACTGCTGAACTCCTTCAGACCCAGGTATTATGTTCCAAATTTGGAAAGTCTGATTAAAGACAGCACTTTTGGATGTGCTACCATTGCTCAGGTAAACCCCAGATGGGGAAGAAAGATCCTACAAGAGACCCAGGCTTGAGGAAATGGGCCTGGGGAGCATTGGTGGTTGCACTCTACTGAAATGCAGCCTACTGGTTTGGGCTATAAATATTTGCTGCTGTTTTTAGATACCTTCTCAGGATGGGTAGAGGCCTACCCCACCCAAACAGAGACTGCTGCAGTAGTTACTAAAAACCTCTTCAGGAATAACTTCTAGATTTGACTGGCCTTAGCTTTGGGGTCTAACAATGGCCTAGCCTTCACAGCCAAAGTGTCTCAAAATTGTACAAAGGTATTAAATAGTAATTAGAAATTACATTGTGTGTACAGGTCACAGAGCTCATGTTAGGTAGAAAAGATGACCAGAAGTCTGTTGTAAATTTTAAAGGTATGGCCTAATAAATGTTTATTATTAGGCTATAATTATTACAGTGCTATTATCTAGCCCACTATCAATCAAATAAAGACACAGACCACAGACACCTGTTGTATTTTATAAAATAGCTCTTACCTGGGGCATTGCAGATACTAACCCTCTAACTTTATGTCCCAGCCCCAGTCTGAAGCTACCTCCCATCCATGGTCCCAAAACACATATTAATGTTCTCCATCCTCCAGCCATGCTGATCTGGCCATGTGTTCCTTTCCCATGCAAACCCACGGCACCAGTCTGTTCCTTCTCCTCCAATCCTGTCTCCTCCTCCTTATCTCCTCTTGATCCCTCAACCCTAGCCTGCAAACCCCAAACTTCACCTTGCTTTCTTTTGCCAAATCCCAAGCTTCAGCATTTTTTATTAATCAAACAGCTTTGTTAGATGGAACACAGTTTACACAACAAGGACAGGTATACGTGAGAATGTGCTCTTCTGAACAGGGACAGATCTTGGGGGCCAGTAATTAACATTAAAATATATAGTACTGGGCCAACCCCCAACAGAACTTTTAGGGAGACTTAACAAAATTGGTCCTGGAAAACTGACAAAAATGTGGGCTAACCTCTACTTCCTCTTTCCCTTGCACAGGTCCTAGTATGTTCCTTCACTGCCCATCCTCTCTAAACTCTCCAGGTAGAAACCATTCCCTGTGAAGAAAATCCTGCCATCCTCCCCCCCCCCCCCCCCCCCCCCGCTATGAATCTCCACCCACAGTTCTAGCCAGGACACTTGGTTTGGACAAAGAGGATCCCTGCCTGGACCTTGGAACCTGTCTAGAAGGGGCCCTACCACCCTAAATGATGTCAAAGTAGCAAGTGTCATCTCTTGAAAAAAGGGTCACTGAGGATGACAACAGGTGGACCATCACTTGGACCTCAAACCTTTTCATTTTTAAAACAAGAATGACCAGAATTTACTAACCCAGGATACCCAGGATAACTTGTCAATCTCAAGCCTGGATGTGGGAACTCCGAAAAACAAGAGATGGGAAACTCTTGTCTTTTGGGTAGACCTCTGCTCTCTTATGTCCCTTCCAGGGTAGAACAATGTGGGTCTAGAGACAAGGAGTCAGTAAATCAGGTTATGGAGAAGAATGGCTCAAAAAAGGCCTTTGGGGTTTAGTTTTTATGCCTGCTCTGTTAATGATAAGGTACATACATGATGTCCTCAAATCACCTGCCTTGCTTGTACTACACATTTGACTAAATATGCCCACTCCAACTCACTGGAAAATCACCACTCCATGTGTATGTTACCCTAGGCATATTCCTATAATGAAGAAGAGGAAAGAGCTCATATTGGCCTTGACACAATGTTAACAAAAGTCAAATGGGTCCCAGTTCTGCTTCTGATCCTAGAAGGGACAGGAATAGCCAGTACAACTTCCGTAAGGCACCCCAGCCTTGATTAGAGAACCAAAACTTTAAGGAACTAGGGTTCTAGATAGATTTAGACCTAGATCATTTGGGGAATTCTGTTTCCAGGCTGGAGAGCCAAGTTGATTCCCTTACAGAGGTAATTGTACAGAACTGAAGGAGGCTGGAACCCTTTTTATGAAACAGGACTTCGCATGGCCTTAGGAGAAGCTTGGTGTTTTTATGCCAACCAATCGGGTAATTAGAGAAAACCTTGCCATGGTCAGAGAAAATCTCAAAGGAAAAAAAAAAAAGAGAGAGAGAGAGCAAGACATAGATCAGATAATTGGTGTCTGTCTCTGTTTACATGGTCCCCATGGCTGACCACCTCACTGTCAACATTAGCCAGACTATTGATTCT